TATGCATGCAAATGGTTGGTCTAATGCATGTTCACAAATGTGATGACATTATTTATACAATTACTACAATAATGCAATAATCTGCATAACAGTAAATTGTCTGTTTTTTGTGTGAATAAAAATTCAAATTGGAAAGCAATGTGTCGCATGGGAGAGGCCTGGGGATGTAACTAATGAACAGAGGAAATGTGGTTTTAGTGCCAGGAATCTCTACATTGTTTACTCAGGACCCTATTTTTAAATTGATAATTTTGAAATTTGTGGCAGAACAATGATACAGTGGTACATACCTTGACTTACCAGTGCCCTGACTTACGAGTTTTGAGCCGTCGCTCAATTGATTTTTTGCTTTGAGTTGCAAGCCAAAATCTGAGTTACGAGCGACCTTCAGATATGCTGCCACTAATTGGCGGCATATCTGAAGTCAAATCCAACTCTGTACCCAGAGGAATGTCAGGTACTTTGTCCCATCCCACATGCTCTTCCAAGACATAACTGGAAGGATAAAACTCCCACACTAATCCCAGACTGTAGTGAGGCACCTCGTCCCTTGTTTGGTTCTCATATAAATCCGGAGAAGAGGTACCTCCATTTCAACACTCAAGAGTTTTTCCAGAAACATTAATTAAGGTGGGTGGAGTACTGATAGTGGTGGATGGAGTAGTCATGGTGGTCGGTGGAGTAGTGATAGTGGTGGGTGGAGAAGTGACGGAGGTGGATGGAGTAGTGATAATGGTGGTGGATGGAGTAGTGATAATGGTGGTGGATGGAGTAGTGATAATGGTGAGTGGAGCAGATATGGCAGTGGGTGGAGTAGTGAGGGTGGTGGGTGTAGTAGAGATGGTGGTGGGTGGAGTAGTGAAGGTGGTGGGTAGAGTAGAGATGGTGGTGGGTGGAGTAGTGAGGGTGGTGGATAGAGTAGTGAGGGTGGTGGATGGAGTAGTGATAATGGTGGGTGTAGTAGAGATGGTGGTGGGTGGAGTAGTGAAGGTGGAGGTGGAATATACAATATTTCTTATTTATAAATACATTTTTCTTATTTAAAAACCTGTAACAATTTTTTTTTTTTTTTTTTGGGGGGGGGGGGCTGGATTGGATTAATGGCATTTCAATGAGAAAAATTGATTTGATATACAGTGGAACCTCAAATATCGAACTTAATCCATTCCAGGAGCTAATTCTAAATTCAAAAAGTCTGAAAAGCAAAGTAATATTTTTCATTTTTTTTTTTTTTATAATTTGTAGCATACATACAGAGGTACAAAAAAATACAGGTAAGAGTAGCATGCCAAAGCCACTTATATGCATAGCATTACGGGCTGGCTTAAAATTAACTTTAGATTAACTAAGCAAAGATGTAATCAGTGATAAAACATTATTGTAAACAGATAACAATAAAGCACAAATGAGTATTACAGAGACAGGTCATATGGTTGCATGCATTGCTGTACATTCAGTAGAATGGAGTATTCTGTTAGGTAGTGTATTTAAAAAATAACAAAGTTAGATTAGGTCTTAGGTTTAACATTTATGTGATATAATTGTGAGAAACATTTAGGATATACAATTTATAAGGTTCAGTTATTCAGTATTTATTTGGTTTTGGGTGAGTAAGTGATCTTTGAGAAGAGACTTGAATTTATAAACAGGTAGTGTTTCTTTTATATTTACAGGTAATGAGTTCCAGATTTTAGGGCCTTTTATGTGCATTGAGTTTTTGCATAGCGTAAGATGGACACGAGGAACATCAAAGAGTGATCTGTGTCTTGTGTTATGGTCATGAGCTCTGTTGAGGTTGGCAAGCAGATGTTTGAGGGGAGGGTTAATATCAGAGTTAAGTGTTCTACGTATGTAATAGGTGCAGTAATAAGTATGGATGTTTTGTATGGTGAGTAGGTTAAGTGTTTTGAATATTGGTGGAGTGTGCTGCCCGTAGTGGGAATTTGTTATCATTCTGACTGCAGCCTTTTGTTGGATAATTAGTGGTCTGAGGTGGTTAATTGTTGTTGAGCTGCATGCACAAATTCCATAGGTGAGATAGGGGTAAATAAGAGAGTGATACAGGGCCAGGAGTGCTGGCTGTGGAACATAGTAACGTTATCTTCGATAGTATGCCTACGGTTTTGGGAAAAATTTTCTTAGAAATTTGTTGTATATGTGTATGAAATTTGAGTCTATTATCAAGGTGGATTCCTAAGAATTTTCCCTCTGTTAGCTTTGTGATAGGTGATCCGTTTATCATTATGTTAAGAGGGACATCTGCAGCTCTGTTTCCAAACTGAATGAAGTAGGTTTTGTCAATGTTTAGTGTAAGTTTGTTAGTCCTCATCCAGGTTGATATTTTCTGTAATTCGGCATTTACAGTATTGGCTAGCATGACTGGGCTCGGGTGAGAGAAGACGTATGTAGTGTCATCTGCAAATAGTGTGGGTTTGAGTAACTGCGAAGCATTTGGTAGGTCATTTATGTATAGGAGAAAGAGAAGAGGGCCAAGGATGCTTCCCTGTGGGACACCAACTGTAATTGGTTGTGTGGAAGAGTTTGCCCCATTTGTGTACACATATTGGCTTCTGTTGCTGAGGTATGACTTGAGGTAGTTGAGGGAGTGCCCTCTTATACCATAGTGAGACAATTTTATGTGGAGCAAGTCATGGTCAACTGTATCAAAAGCTTTTCGTAAGTCAATGAAGATCCCCAGTGGGATTTCTTTTTTCTCTATTGCAGTATATATATGTTCTAGCATGTGTATAATAGCATCATTTGTATTTTTATTAGGCCTGAAACCAAATTGGCAGGGGTTGAGTATGTTTTGGGAGATGAGATAGGTGTTTGATTCGTTTATGAATTAATTTTTCGAAGATTTTTGAGAGAGGGTGTAAGTTAGATATTGGCCTATAATTATTCAACTGGGTTTGGTCTCCTCCTTTATGGATCGGGGTGACCCTTGCTATTTTGAGAACTGTAGGGAAGGTAGAGGATTCAATGGATTTGTTAAAGAGTGTTGCAATGATTGGTGATAGCACTTGTGACACTTTGTTGTATATAAAGGGTGGTAAGGTATTTAGATCTCCTGTCTTGTTTTTTAGTGTGTTGATAATAAGGGAGACTTCATATGGGTTAGTCGGAGCTAGGAACAGTGTGTTCGGGTAGTTGCCAGTGAGGTAGTCATTTGGTGGGGTATCTGTGCTTGGGATTTTATTGGCAAGGTTTTTTCCTATAGTGGAGAAGAAATCATTGAGTCTGTTTGCTGTTTCTGTTGGTGGGAGTTGGGGTTCATCTGCTTTTGTTAATTTAATTTCGCTATTTCGTGTTATCTTTTTTGTTCCTAGAATTTCTGATAGGGTTTTCCAGGTCTTTTTTATGTCACCTCGTAAGTTGGATAATCTGTTCTCATAATACAATTTTTTTTCCCTTCTTATCAGGCTGGTTAGGATTGACGAGTAACGTTTTGTTTGGTCTCTGGTTATGTGACCCATTCTGTACTGTTTTTCATATCGGTGTTTTGTATTTATGGATTTGAGAATGCTGGGTGTTAGCCAGGGACTGTTCAGTCTCTTAGCTGTCATCTGTTTAGTTTTTTAGGGCAGTGCTTGTTATTTGAGGTATTGGGTCTTTTTTAGAAAATTATTAATACATTCGTCAATGTCTGTATAGATTTCTAGCTCAGTGTGCCAGTCAATGTTTGTTACTGCTGTTGTGAAGTTATTAATGGCTGCCTCATTGTGAAGTCTGAAGGTGACTTTAGTAGTGTCTTGGGGTAATTTACCAAGAGTTGTTATGAGGAAAGTAGGGTAGTGGTCTGTGGTATTATCTGTGATTATGCCTGATTTTAAGGGGGATATGGTGTTGGTCCAGAAATAATGGAAATACAATTAAGCACTGGTTGACAGTCCTCTGTTTCTGTCTCACAAAATAACTGTCCACAGTCATCTGTTTCTGTCTCACAAAATAACTGTCCACAGTCATCTGTTTCTGTTTCACAAAATAACTGTCCACAGTCATCTGTTTCTGTCTCACAAAATAACTGTCCACAGTCATCTGTTTCTGTTTCACAAAATAACTCTCCACAGTCCTTTGTACATCCTGGCAAGCCCAACAAGTCTCACACCACTCATACTTCTGTATTATTTCCTTCTTCACATCTAGGGGTGTTTCTCACTTTCTTTACCACAGGGGTACCACTAGCAAGTTTCTTTGGGCCCATGGTAGCTTATTTCATAGTCCCACAAGCACTAAACACAATGAAATAATCGTAAAATGTTTGAATGAGAGTGCAGGTTAGTGTTCACTCAAGCATCAACAAAACCAGACTGGCTCACGGCGCCTGCGAGGGGACGTGGATAGAGCGGGCTGGCGGAAAGGTCCGGTACCCGGCGGTTCGAAAATAAGGGGCGAGTTCGATAATAGGGACAAAGTTGGTTTGAAAAAGTGTTCGATTTTTGAAAAGTTTGATAAGTGATACGTTCGAAATTTGAGGTTCCACTGTACAAGCAAATTAACTTACGAGCTCAGTCATGGAACGAATTAACTCGTAAGTCAAGGTGCCACTGTATTGGCAAAATCAGCAATATCACCAATTTGTAAATATCGCCAAGGCTGCTAACTTTTCAAAAGCAAAATTCCCTAAGTTTTTTTTTTATCAAATTTGTTCATTTCCTTCGGAAAAAAATTATCTATCATTTCATAAGAATTTTTTTTTTTTTTTTTGGGGGGGGGAAAATTCTTGGACCCAGTGGACATGTTTCAGATCCAGGTGTCTGGATTCTTAAAGAGTTAAGACCAAGGTAAGCAATGAAAATAATAAACATGAATATAGCGGAAAAGCACCGTATTAGTGAAGTGCTCTAAAACGACTACCGTATTAACGAGGAATGCCTGTACTTTTTTTCCACTGATCAAGTGTGTTTCAGTTAAGAATTTTTAGGACACAAGATGTTCTCTTGTACAAGTCAATGAACTTTCCTTTATATGTAAACATAATTTTTTTCTATCAAACTTACTTTACCAGTCTTTCTTCTGATATGAACCCTTAACATGATCAGCTGAGCTCTCATATGCTCGTAACTGAAATGACAAATTTTCAAAGCATTATGGTTATGAAACAAAATTAAAATATAGAAATCAAAGTGTACCAAAAATAGAAAATATAAATATATTCAAATTATTTAATACTGTCTCAAGGGTATTCAGTATTACTGATTATCTGGTTACTTTATAAAATAGTGAACCATTTCCCAGGACTTAACAAGACCCACAGCACTCTGGTATGTTGAAAATCGATAATATTGCAGTGCAATATGTACTTAATAGCACAATGGTTAGTGTGCTTAGCTCACATCTGAGAGAACATGGAGTTAAGCCCCATTACAAGGTGTGATGATTGGGAAAGTCTCTGAAAAACCTGCTGCCCATTATCTGGGAATGACTTGAAAATGACCCCAATGGAAATAAGCTGCTACTGGTTTTCTTGGGTTATCCTAGGTTATTACCCCTCTAGCATTAATAATTCAAATAAGTCTTCTTTTGTAAGAGCATAAAAATGCAAATAAAAAATTTACAGTAATACATTAAAATTACAAACCACACTTACCAGAAAATGGTTTACTACATTTGTTCACAAAATTTCCTGATTCAGTTACTGACAGTAGCAGTCAAGGAAACCGTATAAATAATTTAATCGATGCTAGAGGTGTGGTGCTGTAACACTTCACTTGGAGTTCCATTAATAGGAAAACTTCAGTACAAATAACCCTGGGAAAATGGTGCACTACTGTATCAAGCACTTAAACCCAATAAAAATCAGCACTAACCTTGCATGTAATATTTTATTTATCCAAGCATGAACACTTGCTTCTGTCTTTGCAAAAAATAAATGTTTGCGCTCTGGGTCATCCTGACAAAGAAACATTAAAAGTTAAAAAAAAAAATCAGACTATTCATTTTTGCATTTATTTATTTCCCAACATGTATATAACAAAGTGATGATAACAGTGTCTGACCAATATGAAAAAATTAAAGATTTAAGAGGGATTACTATAAGCAAAGAATTAAAATTAAATGAAGAAGAATCTGCTTCAGCATAAAAAACTATTATGAGAAATTTCACAACTGATCCAAGTCAACATGGACACGAATTTTTAGACTGCGAAGAGAAAAATTAAAGTTTATTGGTTTCTTTTTTAGTGTAGCACTTCCAGGATTAAAAATGCATTATTACACAGTAACAAAGCAATTAAGTTATACCTTACCTTCCACTTAATTATAAATCCAAATGGTGTATCAACATCTTCATCCCGCAGTACTTCAATGTTTTCTAGAACAAAAACACCACTTGGCTGAAAGAGAAATAATTTATGTACGTATTAAACAGTGTGTTACATCACTTAATTATTTACTGTTTGTTCACTACCACCTGCATGAACCCAAGCAACAAGTTCATTAACTTGATTCAAAACCAGATTTATTGACTATTTGTAACTGCCTACAGTGGAAAACCAAAATCTTGGAATAAAATTTCTCAGAAATGCATGGCTATACACAACTGTAGAACAGACCAGCAAGGGAGAGGAACAGCTTTATACTACTCAAATCAACTCGAATGTATCAATAAATCTTGCACAAGGAATGAACGTGGAGAATAATCATAGCCAAATTTAAATCAAAAGACCTGCAAAAACCCCTCACAGTTATAAACATCTACAGAGTACCACAATCAAACACTTACCACTTTAGTGAAAAACTAGGAAACATGATTACTGATGCACACATGAATAAAGACCACCTGCTACTAACAGGAGATTTCAACAAACATACATGACCAGGATCCACAAGTAACCGAATTCACAAACACTATGAGCAACTGCCTGTTGCTACCAACAATATCTAAGCCTACAAGAATCACCGAGACAAGTATCTACTTAATAGACCACATCTGGACAAACACCATATCCCCTTTAAAATCAGGCATAATCACAGACAGCACTACAGACCACTACCCAACCTTTCCTCATAACTAATCTGGGTAAATTGCCACAAGACATTACTAAAGTAACCTTCAGGCTACATAACGAGATAGCTGTTAACAACTTTATAGCAGCTATGAATAACATCAATTGGCAAAATGAGCTCGAAACATATACAGATATGAATGTATAAATAATTTTCTAAAAAAAGCCCAAAGCCTCTACAACAACATTGCCCCAAAAAAACTAAACAGATCACAGCAAGGAGACTAAATAGTCCCTGGCTAACACCCAGCATCCTCAAATCCATTAACGCAAAGCACAAATATGAAAAACAGTACAGAATGGATCAAATAACTAGAGAACAGTCTAAACATTACTTATCAGCTCTTACCAGCCTGATAAGAAGATCTAAAAAATTGTATTATGAAAATAGATTATATAACATCAAAGGTGATATGAAAAAAACCTGGAAAACTCTATTTGAAATTCTTGGAACTAAAAAGTTATCCAAAAACAAAACAATCAAACCAACAAAATCAGACGAACCCCTACTCACACCAACTGAAACAGCAAACAGACTCAATGTTTTCTTCTCCACCATAGGGAAAAATCTAGCGAACAAAATACCAAGCTCAAACACCTGTCCATCCTCCCACCTCATAGGTACCTACCCTAATACGCTATTCCTAGCTCCAACCAACCCACTAGAAGTCTCGCTCATCATCAACACCCTTAAAAACAAGGCAGGAGACATAAACAACTTGCCTGCTTTTATGTACAAAAAAGCTCCTTGAATTCCTTCACATATTTTTCAGCCGCTTTTTGGTCCAAACTGGCAGCCTCACCATGCCTTATCACACTATGTATGCCACTACGATTCTTAAATCTCTCAAACCAACCTTTGCTGGCCTTAAATTCACTCACATCACCACTAGTTGCAGGCATTTTTCTAATTAAATCCTCATGCAACTTCCTAGCCTTTTCACATATGATCGCTTGAGAGATGCTATCTCCTCCTATCTGTTTTTCATTTATCCACACCAATAACAGTCTCAACATCTTCTATCAATTGCGATCTCTTATTCGAAAACAAAGTTGCACCCTTTGCAAGAACAGCTTCCTTGATTGTCGTTTTCTTGGCCACAATAGTAACGATGGTTGATCAGGGTTTGGTATACAACCTGGTCAGCTCCGAGACACGCACTCCACTTTCGTATTTAACAATTATCTCTTTCTTCATATCCTGCAGGGTTGGCACTAGAAGCTTTCTTGGGGCCCATGGTGACTTATTTGGAGGTACAATCACTAAAAACACTGTGATAATATGAAATGTTCCAATTGTATGCTTGGATGCGACCGCACTTGCTGGCTTGTAAACACTGGCACCCATGGGACAACTGAGGCACGCTCAGGCCACACGTGGACGTGTCTCGAACGAATTGCATTGGGTGAGTTTTTTAGCGTTAGCTGAGGCAAAATTTTTGTGTTAAAATGCATCGTTAGCTGGATTTAACTTTAGCTGATGCCACTGTTAGCAGAGGGTCCACTGTACATGTGATATATTTCGTATTATTCCATTGTTTTTAGTGCTTGTAACTGCTAAATAAGCCACCATGGGCTCAAAGAAAGTTTCTAGTGCCAGCCCTGTGATAAAGAAGGAAAGTAACACAATAAAATTCAAGAAAAACCTCGTAGCAAAGTACCAAAGTGGAGGAGGAAAAGAGGGGATAATGTGCCTCCTACAGTGATTCAACGATATGTACGATACTAAAGCAGCAGGTATCGATAACAGCTATAGTGCCAGCCAATGATAAAGTGTAGAATTAACAGTGTAGCAAGTAAGTTAAGCGAGTAGGCGATAGAAAAACAACACGAAAGTAACTCTCCAATGTTGTTGGATGTATATCGGGCCAATGAACATACGCTGGCCTACTACGTATCTTCCACCACCCTAAACCTCTGCCAGCATCTCATCCATCAAACTAATTAAACTAAAATCTCCTCCAAGGTAAGTGTAAATATAAAAGTGTAAGTATAAAAGTAAATATAAGTGTAAATATAAAAGGACCCCAATGGAAATAAGTCACTCTGACTTTTTTGGGTTGTCCTAGGTACTTTACACATATGCTGCTATGTATGATAATCTATGTACATAACTGTATTTGTGTATACCTGAATAAACTTACTTATTTATAAATTAAAATGTAAATATTTCTTATTTATAAATTACATACATATATTGTTTGTGGATAGTGGTGGTGGCAGAAGCCTCCTCTACCACTAATATGTACAGCTTCTCTCAGTGGCCATTATAAACCCAACAACAACACTTCCACCACTTATCCTTACATACATTATGACATATTTTATTAATTTTAGAGTATATATCATGTTTCTATGTTATTAATATTGTTTATTAAGTCATATTAGATGAACTGTGATAGATAAATAAGCCACAGAGTTGATAACAGAGTCATATTGAAGTACTATTCTGTCATGCCTCCTGATAGCAGGAACGGATTAATTGGATTTCCATTATTTCTTATGGGGAAAATTAAATCGGATAACAATAAAATCAGTTAAGGATGAGCTCTCTGGAACGGATTAATATCATTAACTGAGGGTCCACTGCATAAGATATAAACAGCTTAAATAGTTCAAAGGTCATGTGCAAGAGTCTGGTACATCAATGTTCAGGTGTGAGTGAGGTACTGTAGGCAGCTTTCTGGCCCACTTTACTTTTTTTTTTCGAAACAATTTGCACTATAGTTAATCCCATAATTACAAGAAGTTCAGCCTAACAATGGGTCTATTTGAGTGCAGCTGAAATTCCTTGAATCAAGAATCCTTCACTGGCATCCGTGGAATAAAACTTCAATTCCAGCTTCAGTAAATAATTTCTACCATATTATTAAAGCATATCATGTTAAGTAAATAGTATACATGCCACTGTGTAGTGCAAAACATACATTTAAATGGTCATTCTAAAACTCAGAAAATTCTTAATTCTGCAAATGATTTGGTCCTGAGCACTCCAGTCTCTTGAGACTACAGTAAGATAAATGTTGATTTAAAAAAAACAGTCAGTACTGTACTTTAGATAACAATTGGAAAATCTTTACACTCACCTCATTCTTATTGACTCCACCAAATTCATTCAAGCGGTAGTAGAAAAGAAAATTAGCTTTCAATTTAAACCATCTTTCCTTGTAAGCTGAAACCAATGAAATTCATTATTAGAATCTAGGAAAAAGAAAGCTTAACAGAAGTAATGTACAAAATATGACAAGAAGGAACAGAGAATGATGAACAAGAAGGATGACTACTAAGGTGAAGGAGCAGAGAATGATGAACAAGAAGGATGATTACTAAGGTGAAGGAGCAGAGAATGATGAACAAGAAGGATGACTACCAATGTGAAGGAGCAGAGAATGATGAGCAAGAAGGATGACTACCCAGGTGAAGGAGCAGAGAATGATGAACAAGAAGGATGACTACCCAGGTGAAGGAGCAGAGAATGATGAACAAGAAGGATGACTACCCAGGTGAAGGTGCAGAGAATGATGAACAAGAAGGATGACTACCCAGGTGAAGGAGCAGAGAATGATGAACAAAAAGGATGGCTACTAAGGAGAAGGAGCAGAGAATGATGAACAAGAAGGATGACTACTAAGGTGAAGGAGCATTGAAGGATGAATGAAAAGAATGACTACCAAGGTGAAGGAGCAGAGGAGAGGATATGATGGTGAAAAAATAAGGAAAATAGTAATGTGATTGATTTTAATAACTTTCTCTTAGTAAACATAATTTGTATCCATAATAATGAAAGATTTCCATAAAACTGGTCTGTTAATAAGTGAAGAGCTCAATCTTATTGGCACTGAGGAAGAGGTGTACACAGTATGTGTTTGAGAAAGACTGAGGGGTTACCTATGAAGTGAAATATGTCATTAGGGTAGAAGGTGATAGATTACAATTGAGATGAATAATGATAGTAGTTAGAAGATGTGATTATTTGTATGTGTTGAATGCTAATATGTGTGTGGTTATAGTGTTTTGTGTGTGTGTAGTGTGTGTGATGTGTGTGTGAGTGGTGTGTGTTTTGTGTGTGTGTGAGGTGGTGTGAGTGTGTGTGGTGTGAGGAGTGTAGGTGTGGTGAGGTGTGTGTGTGTGGTGTGAGTGTGTAGTGTGTGTGGTGTGTGTGTGTGTGTGTGTGTGTGTGTGTGGTGTGTGTGTGTGTGTGTGTGTGTGTGTACACGCAAAGGGAAATCGAAGAATCATAAAAGTTAGTACAGTAAGTTGGCTGTGGACAGGTCAAATTTCACACTTTCAGAGAGGGCAAAATAATCAGGTTAGGGCGATGATGATGTTGGAAAGAGATAGAGCTCTCTGACAACCAAGGCAGCCATCAAAAGATGTTTGACTGTCAGTAAAACCAATGAAATCTCTCAAGGTGGTGTAGGCTACCCCTCCCAGAGACAGCCATGGGTGGGTCTGTTATGAAGGAACAGGTTTCTCACATGTATCAACAATGGAAAGTCAATAATAAGCCAGGTGTGGTTTTTATAGAAAATTTTTTTTAGCAAGCTTGAATATTCTGGGTCAAAAGGGCAAAATCAGCCCTATCAAGCCAAATTTGAAGGGTTATCAGAAAAATAATAAGTCACAATACTATGACCGGGACAATTCACAATTAAACATTTTGATTCAACATGATAATTGTCTGGGATGAACCAAAATACAGTCAGGATTCATCTTAAATTTGTAGGTTAGTTGTCAGGGATTATCAAGCCCATAGCTCTTAGCCTTTTATATTAAATGACCCACTAATTTCTAGGAAAATTTTTTGTAGTCATACATATTGTATTCCATCTCAGAATGTAAAGAGGAGGAAAAGACTTAATTATATAAAGACAAAAATAAGAGCTTTAATATAGCAAGAAACAATACAATATAACTTTTATTTCCTTGCAAGTTTACATCGAGATTCTATAATTACAACAATGAAAGCTAAATCTTAATACTGTGCTTATTAAGTAAGATAACTGTGTATTTTAAAGTGCAGGCATTGTACTTCCCATTTCCAGGACTCAAGTCTGACTTTATGAAAATAACCGGTTTCCCTGAACCCCTTCACTAAATATTACCCTGCTCACACTCCAACAGATCGTCAGTTTGGAGGGATATGTTGTGTATCTTTATACGTATATGCTTCTAAACTGTTGTTTTCTGAGCACCTCTGCAAAAACAGTGATTATGTGTGAGTGTGGTGAAAGTGTTGAATGATGATGAAAGCATTTTCTTTTTGGGGATTTTCTTTCTTTTTTGCGTTACCCTGCCTCGGTGGGAGACGGCCAACTTGTTGAGAGAAAAAGAAAAAAAAAAAAAAAAAAAAACTGTGTATTAACAACACAACTTAGCATACTTAATGCACCAAGATGTATGGAATATGCACAGACATACAGTGGAACCTCTGGTCATGACCGTAATTCATTCCTGGTCGCGACCCGAACCTAATTTCCCCATTGAATTGTATGTAAATATGATTAATCCATTCCTTGTCCCTTACAAATTGTATGTAAACATTTTTTTTTTTTAAGATTTTTATGCACAAAAATACATACTTGACCCCTTAACTGTCACAACCCCCAATCCTGAGGTGTCTCTTGGTGCCACAAAATTTAAAAAAAATATCTTATGAAATGATAGAGAATCTTTTCCCAATTGTAATGACACCAAAAAAAAAACGAAATCTGATGGAAAACTGATGGAATTACGCTCTCGCGAAGTTAGCGACCTCGGCGATTTCGCCCACTTTGAGCCCTATTTTCGGCTAATTCCATTGATCCAGTCGACCAAACTGATAGCTATTTCTTTAGAACTCCGGTTTTTCTATTGATTGAGTACAAGAAACTGCCCATTTACCGATTTCAACTACCCAATAACGTGGTCAGAAATTTGCAATTTGGCCAATTTCACGAAAATTAAAAAATATGACAATTTCAAAATAAGGTCCAGAATGAATAATGCAGACATTCCAGGCTCTAAAATAACATTTTCTTTGTTCATCAGTCATGTCTCCAGGCCCCTCTGATATTACTCTTGCTTTCTATTTTGAATTTTTATTCAAACAAAAAATAGAAGATTTACTGTTATGCAGGCTACTGTAATACTGAAATAATTGTACGTACATATAATGTCAACCCATTCATGGCTGCATATTAGAATGGCTAGTTGGACATTTATTGGAAAATGACATCATTTGTTTACTTTTGAACATTGGCAAAAATCAAACATTTCCCCTACTTTGAGCTCCATTTCTAGGTTCTTTTTATAGTAAAACTAATCAAAATCACCTCTATTTCTATAATGTTTCCATTCTATCAAAGGAGACCAAGAAAACGAGAATACAACCATAAATACTATACGAAAATAAACCACAAAGTCGGCATTTTAATTAAAAAAAAAACAGACGGAGTTTTTTTTTTCTCATTGTGCACTGCGTGCTCCAGGATTTTTTTTATATGGTGCACACTGACCACACAGACCCATTCTCTCACATGTGGGCCTACCAGCTTTCTCCTGCTTGATTTGAAGCCGCTAGAATTTATGAGTATATATATGTCAAACACAGTACCTCGTAAGACGTATACGTGTATATACGACCGAAACAGTCAAAGGGTTAATTATACCACAGAATGCAGTGTAATAGTAAACTAAATGTAAAAATCTTGAATAACACTGAAAAAACCTTGAACAACAGATAAAACTAACACTGCATAAGTCCGTTCTAGACCCCTATGAACTGTCTGCTGTAAACTGTTTTTTTTTTTTAAGAGAGAGTTTTAAGCACAGACAAAACCAAAGTTTGAAAAATCCTTAATTATACAAAATAATGCACAGTTTAATAGAGAAAAACCCTTAAATAACAGAGAAAAAACATACCGTAAACAACCAAGAAAACTAACCTTGCATGAGTTGACTTCTGGCGTTAAGGAAGTGAGGAGGAAGGTAAGTGGGGAGGTGGTTACTGTTTTGAGGAAGAGTCCACCTCCACGATGGAGGGACTTTCTTCTTCAGGTGTTTTCTCTCATTTAGCTGGTGAAGCACACTTCACCATAAATCGATCTAATGTGACTGGTCTTTTCCTTCACATTAAGACATTACGGAAATGAGAGACAACATTATCAAATGACGCAGAATGTGAAAATTGGCGTGGCTGTGTTTGTTCGGCACCCGATTATGTGTTAGTAACCAGATGCAAAAATTTGGCAAATTTTTTGGTCGTGAACTAATTTGTTCGTGTTTGGAAGCGTTCATGAGAGGTTCCACTGTATCTGGAAAGCATGAAATTCCCCTCAGCATACCTGTATCATAGAGTGTCCTTGATGGAGGTTTGTGTGTGAGTCTTCCTTCATGGTCACCAGCTTGGGCAGCAAACTCTGCCAGGTCCTCACTATTGAATCTCATGCTCTTGTGATCTGTGTTCTTAGTAATGGCTCACTACAAGACTAGTCTGTAAAATATTGTAATGATAGAGTTTAAAACTAAATAAGGGTTCATTACAGTAGTAAACTTAGTACAGTAATATGTGAATAAATGTCCAGCAACTGTATAAGAGATTAACAAATGAAAAATTCAACCAGCATGGATCATACAAATAACCAAAAAGAATAATGACCTGATTCTCAAATAAATTGCAGACTTTATTTGGATTGTTAACTAGGATGGGTGGTAACCCAGGAAAACTGAAGGAAGCCAATAAACATGGCTTATTTCCATTGGGATCTTTTGATCCTCTTCCCCAGGATGCAACCCATCACCATCAGCTAATACCTGGGTATTTACTGATAAGTATGAGGACGAAGCGAGGTGTGGAGGAGGCGGCATGGAGGTGAAGGTTTGGAGGAAGAGGCAAGGAGGTGAAGGCATGATGTGGCACATAAGGTCACCAGGGGACAACCTATTATTTCTCTGGGGAAACCTTAAATCCACAGGGGTCACACTAGCACCTCAGGGAAATATGAGGCAATCAGGTCCAGTCCAAGGAAAATGGAGTTTTGCTCCAATTCCTGGCATCAAGATACCTTCAACAGCACCAACTGCCACCTGAAGGGCCTCAGGTGGCAGTTTCTACACAACAGGTGCCCCTGATATTCTCACTCAACTTGCATTTAATTTATTATGCATGTGGCAGCTGGTGTTACATTCTTTCTCTCACACACACACACTCATACTAACAAAGGCTGCAAACCTCACTCAAGGAGAAAGATCTTGGGGTGACCATAACACCGAGCACATCTCCGGAGGCACACATCAGCCAGATAACTGCTGCAGCATATGGGCGCCTGGCAAACCTGAGAATAGTGTTCCAATACCTTAGTAAGGAGTCGCTTAAGACACTGTACACTGTGTACGTCAGGCCCATACTGGAGTATGCAGCACCAGTTTGGAACCCACATCTGGTGAAGTGCATCAAGAAATTAGAGAAAGTACAAAGGTTTGCAACAAGGCTAGTTCCGGAGCTCAGGGGAATGTCCTACTAAGAAAGGTTGAAGGAAATCAGACTGACGACACTGGAGGACAGGAGGGTCAGGGGAGACATGATAACATACAAAATAATGCATGGAATAGACAAGGTGGACAGAGACAGGATGTTCCAGAGAGGAGGACACAAAACAAGGGGTCACAATTGGAAGCTGAAGACTCAATTGAGTCACAGGGATGTTAGGATGTACTTCTTCAGTCACAGAGTTGTCAGGAAGTGGAATAGCCTATCAAGTGATGTAGTGGAGGCAGGAACCATACATAGCTTTAAGACGAGGTATGACAAAGCTCAGGAAGCAGAGAGAGAGGACCTAGCAGCGATCAGTGAAAAGGTGGGGCCAGGAGCTGAGTCTTCGAACCCTGCAACCACAATTAGGTGAGTACACACTGTATACAGTGTGCATTAGCCCCACATTGGAGTATGTAGCACCAGTATGGAACCTACACCTGGTCACGCATGTCAAGAAATCAGAGGTGCTGATGTTTGTAATAAGACTAGTCCTGGCACTAGGGGATATGATGACACTAGAGGAATGAAGGACAAGATAAGATGAGATTTGCTTGGATTTTTAACACAGGTTTGCCACCTAAAAAACCCAAGAATATAATTGAATCATTGTTTTCACAAATAGCATTTTTGAATATATGAATACGTGTATATCTTTCGTCTTATATAAATTAGATTCACTTATAATTAATAATCTACTGTACAACTATGATATAATTAATATTCTACTGTACAACTATGATATAATTCTTAGTGTTAAGTAGTCAGTAAGCCAAAAATGTTAAGTCGACCCATAATGCCTAGGCATAATAGAGGCTCTCTTTGCATTGCAACCCATTATTGTAAATACATTACTGTAAATCCAACCTTTCCTAGGCTGACCCCTACCCTGCCTTCCTTCCACTAATCAGTCTGTAGTGGAAGGAAGGTGGGGTAGGGGTCGGCCTAGGAAAGGTTGGAGGGAGGGGGTGAAGGAGGTTTTGTGTGTGAGGGGCTTGGACTTCCAGCGGGCATGCAGGAGCGTGTTTGATAGGAGTGAATGGAGACAAATGGTTTTTAATACTTGATGTGCTGTTGGAGTGTGAGCAAAGTAACATTTATGAAGGGATTCAGGGAAACCGGCAGGCCGGACTTGAGTCCTGGAGATGGGAAGTACAGTGCCTGCACTCTGAAGGAGGGGTGTTAATGTTGCAGTTTAAAAACTGTAGTGTAAAGCACCCTTCTGGCAAGACAGTGATGGAGTGAATGATGAAAGTTTTTCTTTTTTCGTGCCACCCTGCCTTGGTGGGAATCGGCCAGTGTGTTAATAATAAAAATAATAATAATAATCTCAATGTACTATTTGCAAAGACAAAAATAAATAAATAAATAAACGAAGTCAATACGTCATCAAGGACTGTCTTATTTCCATTGTGGTCCTTCAATCTTGTCCTACAGGATGCCACCCACACCAGTCAACTAACACTCAGGTACTGCTAGGTGTATAGGGACAGTAAGTGGGACAGTAGGTGTAAGGTGACTAACACCCTGGTACCTACTTTCAATTAAGCGAACAGACAAAGCAGATGTAAAGAAACATGCCCAATGTTTCTACTCGGCTGAGGAATGAACCACAAACACTCAATGTGTAAGGAAAGACGGGTAATGGGATAACAATGTACAAAATACTGAGAGGAATTAATATGGTGGACAGGGACAAATTGTTGCGAGTCAGAAAACAGGAATACAAGGGTACAGCTGGAAGTTGTTGGAAACACAGATGAGTCACAGGGATGTTAGGAAATATTTCTTCAATCTTTGAGTAGTCAAGAAATGGAATGACCTGGAGATTGGAGTGGTTGAAGAAGGATCCATGCTTAGCTTTATGAGGAGGTATGATGAATTAACTTGTATCTGTTTTTATGCTCCCATTAATACCATGTACAGTATTAGACCTTTAAATATTATTATTATTATTATTATTATATTATATATTATTATTATAATCATAACTAAGCACTAATCCCATAAGTCATACAGTGACCTTTAAATATAAAAAAAAAAACTATGCAAATTTTAAATACAGTATAGGTCAAGTTTTACCCGAAATACCATAAGATAAGATTTCATTCGGATTTTTAACCCCGGAGGGTTAGCCACCCAGGATAACCCAAGAAAGTCAGTGCGTCATCAAGGACTGTCTAACTTATTTCCATTGGAGTCCTCAATCTTGTCCCCCAGGACGCGACCCACACCATCGACTAACACCCAGGTACCTATTTGCTGCTAGATGAACAGGACAACAGGTGTAAGGAAATGCGTTGAAATGTTTCCACCCGCCGGGAATCGAACCCGGGCCCTCCGTGTGTGAAGCGAGAGCTTTAGCCACCAGGCCACCGGGCTTTCAGATTATTGTATATTTTATAGTTTTTTTTGAAATAGAAATTTATATTTATATTTATGCAAGGCTCTCAAAATCAAGAGAGAGTGACCCTAGTACTGACCAGGATGAGGCAGGGCCAGGAGCTGAGACTCAACTCCTACAACCACCTATAGTTGAGCACACATTCTTGTACCTTTATTCAGGTACAGGTACACATAAATACAATTACTATACATACTAACATACGTAAATTACCTCGGGTAACCCCCCAAAAAATCATGGTGAATTATTTCCATTGGGGTCCTTGTTAACACGAACATAAATGGAGAAGTTAACTACTGACAATGTTAAGTTCATGTGGGCACAACTACACAATTTTAGACGATTATAGTTATCACAAGAAGGTAACAAGTGTTAATCACCAGGGATAACCCTGGCAGTTAGTTAGTTAGTTAGTTAAGTGATGATAAATGTCAGTCTTAACCACTTCCATTATAATCTTAAGTCACCCCACCACTGGAGTTAACAGTTGCGACTACAGGAGGAGACCACAAGAGAGCTTAATAAATCCTAAATTATTTTTTTTGTGTGTGTACCTCATGAGTACTAACGAAAAAGAAAATATTACAACCTGCAGAGTAAGGTGTGACGACCTTGTAGTGTGGTGGACCACCTCACACCTCGCCATCACTGGCGAAAATGTTCATATTGGGAGGGTTTAGTGGCTGTTATTCCTGACTAGGACAGTGTAACCAGTTCTTGTGATTTAAGTTAATAATTATGTGTTTTTTTTTTTTGTTTATTTTGTAGAAGTGCAGGAATATTGTACGGCTTGCTTTGGAAGCCGGTCATTAACTTCCCTCCAGGTGCTCGCGTCATTTTTTTTTTTAAGGTTTAGAGTTCTTGGAGAAGCAAGAAAGTAAATTTATTTGGGTACAGTATATACATAAGTGTAGTTACGCAGATTCAGGTGATTACAATTGTCATCAATAGTAACATATATGTAAATTACTTAGGATAATCCCAAAAATGTCAAAGTGATTTATTCCCATTTGGGTTCTTGGGGTCCACCATTAACTCATTATTAATGGTTATTTTCTATTATATTATTGCCAATAATACACTGGAAATGGAAATACAAGCACAGCAATGGAAATAAGTCACTTTTGACATTTTATGGGGGCGGGGGTTATCCTGTGTAATCTACCCATGTGTTGCTATGTATGATAATTTATGTGAATGTATTTATGTGTACCTGTACCTGAATAAACTTACTTATTTACTAAAGATTTCTCCTCAACATTTAATAGTAATTTAATTCGGGACTGGAGAGGGAGGTTGTGGAACAAATATTCATATGTAATTTTTTCTTCTTAAGTTACAGTGCTGAACTTTATTGAGTTATCCCAGGTTAAATTCTACATTACATATTAAGTCAGTCAAAAAGTTTAATTTTGTCTACGAAACCTAAATATAAGCATTTATTTAGGCCTAAATACAGCTTGGTGGGTGGAGTGGCCCTTAATTACAACAAGGACAACAGTGGAGTCCTTCAGGTGTGTTGCTGCTGCTGTGGTGTCAACGTTTCGCACTTTCTTCTATTTTGAGAGTCAGTATTGATTTTTCTTGCCCTGGGACGTTTTGCCCTCATACGGTGCAGCTGCTGGTTGAGTTGTGTGTGGAAATAAGTCACTATCTGAATTATTTTGGGGGGTTATATTAGGTAATTTACACACGTGTTGTTATATATGATGATTTTGTGTACCTATTTATGTGTACCTGTATCTGAATAAACCTACTTACTTAGCAGTTCCTGCTTCACTTCAGAGAGACTGTTGTTGTTGTTGACCCCTGCGACCCCTGGTGGTTTAGTGCTTAGTTTTGATTATTATTAATAATTCACCAATTTGTGATTGCAAGAGTTGAGTCTCAGCTTCTGGTCCCGCCTCTCCTCTTTTCGACTCTAGGTTAAGATGAGATTTTGTTCGGATTTTTAGCCCCTGAGGGTTAGCCACCCACGATAACCCATGAAAGGCAGTGTGTCATCGAGGGACTGTCTGTCTTATTAGCACTGGGGTCCTCAGTCTTGACCCCCAGGATGCAACCCCACACCAGTTGACTAACACCCAGGTACCTACTTGCTTGCTAGGTGAACGGGACAGTAGGTGTAAGGAAATGCACCCAGTGTTTCCACCCTTGCTGGGAATTGAACCACAGACACTCAGTGTGTGTGAAGCGAGAGCTTTGCCTACCAGGCCACGGGTCTCTACCACTTAGCTAACTTGCTCATTCCACTTGAGTCAAATCAAATAGAAATCAAAAGATAAGATTTGTTGGTTTTTTTAACCCAGGGTAAGGAGGGTTATACACCCAGTATAATCCAAGAAAGTCAGTATGTCGCTGGGGACTCGGGCCCGTGGCCTGGTAGACAGCACACACACTTCACACGCTGAGTGTCCGAGGTTCAGTCCCCGGCAAGGGTGTGTTTCCTTGCACCTGTTATCTTGTTCACCTATCAAGCAAGTAGGTACCTGGGTCTTTGTTGACTGGCGTGCATCACTCCTTTGGGGACAAGATTGAGGACTGCAATAAAAATAAGATGAACATCAAAATGGTATACAATACTGACAGGTTGGTAGGTAAGACACATAGGCAACAGTTAGGCAACTTTATTCCGAAACGTTTCGCCTACACAGTAGGCTTCTTCAGTCGAATACAGAAAGTAGGCAGGAACAGTAGAGATGTGAAGACGATGTAATCAGTCCATCACCCTTGAAGTCGTAGAATTTGAGGTTGTCAGTCTCTCAGCCTGGAGAAGTTCAGTTCCATAGTCAGGAACTAGTTCCTGACTATGGAACTAGTTTCAGAATAAAGTTGCCTAACTGTTGCCTATGTGTCTTACCTACCAATAAAAATAAGACAGACAGTCCCTCGATGATGCACTGCATTTCTTGGGTTGTCCTGGATGGCTAAACTTCCAAGCTAAAAAACTTATCTCTCTCTTATACATGTATTATATTCACTCCTGGCAGTTTTTTATTTATATATACAAATACACTATGCAAAATATTGAAATTCCAAGCACTTTTGTGATTTCTTGATAATGTGAGAAATCATGAAAGCATTTGGAAGCTCACTATTTTTCCACTTTTTTTTTTTTTTTTTTTTTTTTTTTTTCATATTGTGACATCATCTGTTTACTGTGATCTTATTAGACAAATACACATGTGTGTCTGACTTTTTTGGGTTATCCTAGGTTATTTACACATGTGTGACTATGTATGATAATTTTACTTATGTGGACCTGTACCTAAATAAACTTATCCCAATTGTGCAATGCTGCACATGATTTATCATTTTTACTGGTAGGTAAATTTAATATATGGAAAAGGGAAAATGAGGCAAGTACAAAAAGAAATGTACCTAATCACTAGAGTACAGCAATTTGTTCAGCAAAGATCAGAGGGCATCCAATGAAATTAATATTTTTCCTGCAGAATAATGGAAGATTTGTTGTTCAGCTTTAATGCGGTGGAAGTAACAAACCACCCAAATAACCCACATGCTGAGCATCCTCACTTCTCCCTGTACAAGGCTAAGAACACTGGCTCATCACAACATGAGCGTAGAAAAAGAGTACTGGAGGCAAGGAAAGAGTAAGTATTAATGGGTATGGCCTAAAACTTGGTTTATAACAAAAATAGCATATGCTACACAAATACCCACACATGGGAGAATGAAACTGTGTGTGTGAGTGTTTGTGTATTGTTCCAGTCCCAGTATTGTGCCTTTTTATTCTTGTTGAAAGTATAGTGTATATTATTATTTAGTTCTTTGGCAGACTTGATCAGAAAATTCTGCAGTGACATTGCCAAGTCAAAAAAAAAAAAAAATAAGCTTTGACTATACTTGTATAAGATCTTTTCAAAGAACTGTGTTTTCAAAGCAAAATTAAGAATTTGAGTTGGCTAGATGACTTTGATTTCATGACAGTTACTTTCATGCTCAAACTGAATGTGAATATTGATGCCTACATCCATACTATTCTTTTGCTCAAATGAATTTTATTTAGAAGCTGATATATATATTTTTCTAGAAAGTTGATGCTTGTTATTAACTCAAAATTTGGAATACACAAGGTTTTAAATTATCTCCAGTATGAAACAAAAATTTGAAAGAAGTTTTAATATTAATTTTAAATTTTGGCATTTATATACTAGTGTCTATCTGAATAGGAGCTATTTTACACTACAAAAGTAAATTATCTCTTCCAGTTTGAAAGAAAGGATCCCATTTAATTTTATTTTATTATTAACACACTGGCCGATTCCCACCAAGGCAGGGTGGCCTGAAAAAGAAAAACTTTCACCATCATTCACTCCATCACTGTCTTGCCAGAAGGGTGTTTTATACTACAGTTTTTAAACTGCAACATTAACACCCCTCCTTAGTAGGAGGCTGGTAGACAGCAGCCACCCAGGGAAGTACTACCATCCTGCCAGATGACTGTGAAACAGAAACCTGTAACTGTTTTACATGATGGTAGGATTGCTGGTGTCTTTTTCTGTCTCATAAACACGCTAGATAACAGGGATATCTTGCTACTCCTACTTACACTTTGGTCACACTTCACAGACATGCACATGCATATATATATACATACATACATCTAGGTTTTTCCCCTTTTTCTAAATAGTTCTTGTTCTTCTTTATTTCTTCTATTGCCCATAGGGAAGTGGAAAAGAATCTTTCCTCCGTAAGCCATGCGTGTCGTATGAGGCGACTAAAATGCCGGGAGCAATGGGCTAGTAACCCCTTCTCCTGTAAACATATACTAAAAAAGAGAAGAAGAAAAACGTATTTAATCTACATTGAAATTTTGTTGCAGTGTGTAACCCCTATCTTTAACTATTTCCAGTAGTAATTTAGAAGAATGCATGTCCTTGCCTCGAGAAGAAATGTAAGTGTGAAAATGAGTTCTGATGCCTATGATCACTAATAGGTACACTTCTTCCTATATTTTTCATATAGTGTATGTAAAAGTAAAAGAACCTTCAGCAATACTGAATGCTTGATGTGGTGTGTAGTTATCTTAAACTTTTTCCAGCATTGTAGAAAGCTGCATGTCTTGGCTTAGAGGAGAAATGTTTGTATGTATGAATGTGGATGTGTGTTTAGCAACAGACATCGGTGTTCCATATTCCACTACTACATGCATATATATGTTCTGATGTTTGTACTAATAAAATCTTATATCATTAATTATATTATTATTATTATTATTATTCATGGGAGGAGTGCTAAACCCATATGGATCATACAGCAACTGGGGAAATGAGAGGCAAAATAGGTTCAGTTCAAGAAATGATAGGATAGACTCAGTAAATTTATTATTCATTAGCTTTTAGCAGAATACATCTACAGATTGCAATACATATTACAGTAGTCCTGGTAACTGGAAAATATTTGCAGACAAAACCTTTATTGTAAAGACAATGTTTTGACCACACAGGTGGTTTTATAAAGTCAGTCACTGATTTAATAATGCCCCTGTGTGGGCCAAATAATGTCCTATTACCATACTTGTAGGCACTCCTGCCATTCCAGTACACTAGTTCTTTTAAGAGGTGACAAAAACTTAATGGTAACTCTGTACTGTGTTTCTCCAATTACAATACACTACTGTTTCTCTTTTCAGGTAAAAAGCTGCTTATAATCAACTGTTGTCTAATGGCAATTCATGTACTGTTAATTGGCTTACAATATTAAATTTCAGGGCTCGTTATGATTTGCTGATGCATCTGCGAAGTATAGAAGAGGAGTCGGCAGAATCATCTGACTCCTCAGTTGATAACATGGAATGTGAACAGGTAAAAGTTGCAACAGTATGATATGTAACAATTAATATAATGCATTACCATGCAGGGTTAGTGCTAATAATAAAAAAAAATGTTTCATGTTTCAAATTAATAGTCAAATTTTATACAGAAATTGACATTTAAACTTAATAGTCATTACAGCATTGGAACACTAATGCACATGATTTAAACAATAAATTAGCCTTAGGAGTAACCAAATTGAAGTATATCTACTGCAGTTTGAGTAGCTACATATTGCAAAAATGTTGGTGGAGAATTTGCACTGTGCCCATAATTTAACTGTAAACCGTTCTGGGAGTCACTGCCCCGGTAGAGTAGACCCAGCACAGGCCCCAGTTGCAGCCTGATCCATCAGGCTGTTGATACTCGCAGCATACAGTCATTGTTGTCAGCGCGGCAGACGAGGAACTGATTTGAGGAACTTCTCAATTTCCCACTTTAAAACAACTAAAGGTTTGTTTGCACAGTAATTTCCCTTATGAATAAAGGGTGTTAAAATAACTTGGTCCCTTTTCACAATGCATTGCACCCCTACTTCTCATAGGGGATATTTTAAGTCCTGTACATAGTAAGTTTCATGCTTTTGTAAAAAGTGATTTTGGTGTGCAGATTTAAATTCATTCCCTCCAGAATTTTGCAGGTGCAAATTATGCTGTATCTTTCTTGTCTATGGTTCAGGGAGCACAGTTCTAGGGTCTTTAGGCATTGCCAATAATTTAGGTTATTGATTGAATTTATACAGGCAGTGAAAGCTCACAGTATATTCTCTTCATCTGCTATTTTGCCTGCCTTAAAGAGGCTGTTAGTGTACAGCAGTACTGTAGTTTAGAGAATAAGTGACCTAAGAGGATTGTCATTACCTTGGCATCTCTTGTTTTGATGGTTGTAGTTATCCTGACATTTTTTCTTGCAGTTGTATTATTAACCTTGTGAACCTCAAATGCAGGATCCTCTGACATTATCGCTCCTGAGTACTTTGCATTAATTTTTTTCTGTATTGAGTGATTTGAGTTTGTTTTATACTCTGTTCCACCCTTTTTTCTCATTCTTTCTTGAATGGGTAGCTGAAATTTGTCCTCAGTGAATATCATATTTCCTGTGGTCTGTTTTAAAAGACCTGGTTTATATCAGTTTGGAGATTTGTTGCTGTGTCCTCACTGGATTCTACTGTTATCTGCTATGATTTATCTGTCGGATACTGGGATGAGAAAAAGACGGGAGCAAGCGCTGTGCCTTGAGGAATAGAGCTTTTCATTTTGGCAGCCTCTGAATTTATTTTACTGGCTATTACTCTTGAGTTTGATTTGTTATAGTTAAAAATTCATCTGCTCACTTTTTCAGTTATTTATTTTGCATGCATTTCGTGTGCTACTACACCATGATTACACTTGTTGAAGGGTTTTGCAAGTCTTTGTATACTACACTTGCAGTTTGCTTGTCTTGAAATTGCTTCTAAACCATGTTGTAATGATCCAGTAATTGCGAGAGGCAGGAGCAATCTATTCTAAACTCATGTTACCCTGGTATGTGCAGTTGTGAATCTGTGTTTAACAGTGTTGCTTCTTAAAGCTCTTTCAAAGATTTTTATAATGTGGGACATCAGTCTATAGTTTTGTGCAGTTGTCTGACTGCCACCTTTGTGAAGTGGGGGGTATATCAATAGTATTTTATAATGACTTTATGGTGAATCCTTTGTCCAGACGCCCATCTCCACAGGATACTTAAGACATGTGATGTCAGTTTTTGCAACTCTTGGTGAATAGGTAATAATTTGAATCTGCACTTGGGGCAGAGTGAATAGACATACATACTATCAGTGCCTTGTTAAGTGAAGATTATTTCTATAAACAGCACTGCAGTCCTGTACAATGAAAAATTAATACTATTTTTATATGCTATAGATGTGATATTCCAGACTCCACAATTTTTTCTTCGATAACAGATTCGAAAGTGTTACTCACGGCCTAGAAAATATCGTAACTTTCTCATGTTAAGTGAATGGCTGGTGGATGTGCCAGATGATTTTGCTACAACTTACTTTGCTTTACCATGTCCAGTTGGAAAACGATCTCTTATTGTCTCTGCCAGGGTGAGTTGTCAAGAATCTTTTATGCAGATTTATTACATTTTTGTAATTTGTATCTTTACTGACATGCATAATTACCTTTTATATTGGTGATTACAATGCATACATATTTATGAATTACTGTATATGTTGTGTTAGAGTACCTGAATCAAAATTATTCATTACTGTGACATGTAACATAATTTTTACGATAGAGTATAATGTATTTATCACCACCAGGGAAGAACGCGTGCATATTCAAAATCTGGCGTCATGGTAAGCCAGTTCCCTTCGTTGCTGCCTGGTGGCAACCGCCACACATGTTCTAAAGGGTATGCCTTGCTAGACTGCATATGGTCTGAAGTCAACAAGACGTACTATGTTTTAGACCTTATAGTTTGGGTCAACCAGTCCATCATGGAGTGTGAGGTATGTGTTTTTTTTTTTTTTTCTTATCTCCCTAACAAGTTGGCCGTCTCCCACCGAGGCAGGGTGACCCAAAAAGAAAGAAAATCCCCAAAAAGAAAATACTTTCATCATCATTCAACACTTTCACCTCACTCACATATAATCACTGTTTTTTCAGAGGTGCTCAGAATACAACAGTTTAGAAGCATATACATATAAAGGTACACAACATATGCCTCCAAACTGCCAATATCCCAAACCCCTCCTTTAAAGTGCAGGCATTGTACTTCCCATTTCCAGGACTCAAGTCCGGCTATATAAAAATAACCGGTTTCCTTGAATCCCTTCAATAATATTACCCTGCTCACACTTCAACAGCTCGTCAGATCCCAAATACCATTTGTCTCCATTCACTCCTATTTAACACGCTCGCGCACGCTTGCTGGCAGGCCAAGCCCTTCGCCCACAAAACCTCCTTTACCCCCTCCCTCCAACCTTTTCGAGGACGACCCCTACCTCGCCTTCCTTCCTCTACAGATTTATACGCTCTCCAATGTCATTCTACTTTGATCCATTCTCTCTAAATGACCAAACTACCTCAACAACCCCTCTTCTGCCCTCAGGTATGTATAGTAACATGAATGCAAGGCAACCTAAATATTTGCTGAATTAAAAATATTGATATAGTTAGTTCACTTTTAAAACTCCTCTATATGCTAGTGAGAAAGCGCTGTCTAGTACACCCGAAATTTAATAGAATGTGGAAAGGCCTTCATAGTACTCTTTTCATTTTTGAATGACCTTTTTCAGTTGCATTTATGAAGGGATGCAAGGAAACCAGTTAGCCGGACTCGAGTCCTGTAGGTGGAAAGTACAGTGCCTGCACTCTGAAAGAGTTGGGATATTTGCTGTTTTTATCTGTAGTAGTGGCTCACCTCTGGCAAGACAGTGATGGACTGAATGATGGTGAAAGTGATTTTTCTTTTTTTGGGTCATCCTACCTCAGTTGGAGATCGCTGGTGTGTTAAAAAACAAATTACTACTGTGATGTTTTTTGGTGGTTTGGATATTAAGAGAGGATGAAGCAAAAAAAGATGACTTGGAGGGTGTATAAATCTGTAGTGGAGGGAAGGCAGAGTAGGGGTCCCCTAGGGAAGGTTGGAGGTGGTAAAGGCAGTTTCATGTGCAAAGGGCTTGGATATCCAGCAGGCATGTGTGAGCATATAGATAGGAGTGGAGGCAAATGGTTTTTGGGACCTGATGTTCTGTTGGAGTGTGAACAAGGTAGCATTTTGTAAGGGGCACCAGTTAGCTGAACTTGAGTCCTGGAGGGAATTAGTACTGTGCCTGCACTCTACAGGAGGGGTGGGGATATTTGCTGTTTTGAGGTGTAGTATCTATATGCCTCTGGCAAGACAGTGATGGAATGAATGATGAAAATGTTTTTTCTTTTTGGGTCACCCTACCTCAGTGGGAGATGACCAGTGTTAAAAAATAAATGTAAATTTTTTCCCCAGTTTTGTATTATATAGAATTTTGATTGAAGTTTGAATTTTCTTTTCTCAGTTTTTTCAACCAAATTTGGTTCTGTTTTGTATATGACTATTTTGTGCATCCTAGGTAGGAGATTGGTAGACAGCTACCACCTAGGGAGGTAACCGTCCTGCCAAGTGGATGTGAAATAGAAACCTGTATTTTTTTTTTTTTCAACAAGTCGGCTGTCTCCCACCGAGGCAGGGCGACCCAAAAAAGAAAGAAAATCCCCAAAAAGAAAATACTTTCATCATCATTCAGCACTTTCACCTCACTCACACATAATCACTGTTTTTGTAGAGGTGCTCAGAACATAAGAGTTTGGAAGCATATACGTATAAAGATACACAACATATCCCTCCAAACTGCTAATATCCCAAAACCCCTCCTTTAGAGTGCAGGCATTGTACTTCCCATTTCCAGGACTCAAGTCCGGCTATATAAAAATAACTGGTTTCCCTGAATCCCTTCACTAAATATTACTAAATATATTAAACCTGTAATTGTTTTACATGATACAGTAGGATGGCTACTTCTACTTACACTTAGGTCACACTACACATGTAAATACAAGCATTTATATATACTCCCCTCTGTTTTTTTTTTCTTTCTTACTAGTTCTTGTACTTGTTTATTTCCTCTTATCTCCATGGGGAAGTGGAACAGAATTCTTCATCTGTAAGCAATGCATATCATAACAGGTGACTAAATGCCAGGAGCAAGGGACTAGTAACCCCTTCTCCTGTATACATTACTAAATTTAAAAAGGAAACTTTCGTTTTTCTTGTTGGGTCACCTTGCCTTGGTGGGATACAGCCAATTCATTGAAAAAAATACAAACACGTATTTAAAGCATGTGTTTGAATGTTTTTCAGACTTTGTTTAGATTTGAGTGGCTGAAATCGAGAATATTGGAAGAAACACCTGAAGTATTAGAAGTATCAAGACTTAATCCATATAGGTAGGTAGTGCGAGGATTTGTTTTTAATTCTTTATGATTTTTCTATATAATAATTTTCAAAAATATGCATAAATATTTTTGAGTGGGTTAACTGTGTATAAATTAAAAAGAAAAGCCTCGGTTATATCACTGTATTAATTTTAATAATCATTTGGATTGTTGACAATATTTCCTTGATTCTCATTATCTTACTATACTGCCTTTTGTACATGCTACTCATCTCTTATTACAAAAAGTACCAGTATACACATTTAATATATGCACCCTTCAAAAGGGGTGCCTTGTTGATCAAATCTCATCTGGTTACCTCCTCTTCTCCAGGCATTGTGTAACCTTTAAGGGTTTAGCACCTTTCTATGAGTGGTAATAATTATTGACTTGTGCATTGATGTTTTTGCTGCATCCATAGATGACTTTAATAAAATACTGTACTACTTCTGCAGCTTTTGCATTGTTTATAAAATACAGTATGCATAACTAACTAAATAACAAAAAAGGCACAATACCGTGACTGGAATGATACACAAATAACCCGCACATAGAAGAGAGGAGCTTACGATGACGTTTCGGTCCGACTTGGACCATTTACAAAGTCACACTGACGAGAAGTAGAGCAGGACGGGTTTATATAGGCAGGAAGAGGTAGTAGTAGTGGTAGTAGTAGTGGCAGAAATGGAAGTAGAAATGGGGAAGTAAGGAGGAGGAGCCAGTCAAATACAAAGAAAGGGGAGCATTGCAAGGGAGCTAGGTGCCCACAGAGGGAGAGCAAGAACACAGAGGTGGGGGAGGGGGAAATAATGAAATAAATAATGAAGGAACAGAAACACAAGACAGAAGAAAGAAAGACAACCCAGAAGAGAAAAAAGGAAAGAGGAAAGGGAAAGAGGGAGAAGAAGAAAAAAGGAGGAATCGGGCTAAGTCACGGGTGTACTGAAGTTTGGAGCATTTTACAATGTAGTGGGAGAGGAAGGCATCTACAGAGACGAAGTCAGGACTAAGATTCATACAAGGAAAGTTGTGTATTAGGGAGGATTCAACCAGACGGCGACTGTTAAAGTTGGAAATAGGGAAGACAGTTTTAACAACAAAGTTGGTAGAATTACCGACAATATGTTAAGTAAAAGGACACAAGTGCAACTAATGTGACATTTTATTGTGGCAACGTTTCACTCTCCAGGAGCTTGATAAAGCTCCTGGAGAATGAAACGTTGCCACAATAAAATGTCACATTAGTTGCAGTTGTGTCCTTTTACTTGACACAGTTTTAGCAGAAGACCAGTCAATAAGATGGCCGTGATCTCTGATGTGACAGAAAAGAGCATTGTTAGTGTTGGCAAGCCTGACACTATTTTTGTGCTCCCTAAGTCTCAGAAAGAGATTGGCCAGTTTCTCCAAAGTATTGAAGAGGACAGGAGGAGCAAGAAATAGACACCAGGAACATCTGTAGAGGGAGGAGAGGTATGAACGAGATTAGTGCGAAGAGTGTTAGTCTGGCGGAAAGTAAGCTTAACGACACTAACAAGGCTCTTTTCTGTCACATCAGAGATCACAGCCATCCTATTGACTGATCTTCTGCTAAAACTGTCTTCCCTACTTCCAACTTTAACAGTTGCCGTCTGGTTGAATCCTCCCTAATACACAACTTTCCTTGTATGAATCTTAGTCCTGGCTTCATCTCTGTAGATGCCTTCCTCTCCCACTACATTGTAAAATGCTCCAAACTTCAGAACACCCGTGACTTAACCTGATTCCTCCTTTTTTCTTCTTCTCCCTCTTTCCCTTTCCTCTTTCCTTTTTTCTCTTCAGGGTTGTCTTTCTTTCTTCTGTCTTGTGTTTTGTTCCTTCATTATTTATTTCATTATTTCCCTTCCCCCACCTCTGTGTTCTTGCTCTCCCTCTGTGGGCACCTAGCTCCCTTGCAGTGCTCCCCTTTCTTTGTATTTGACTGGCTCCTCCTCCTTACTTCTGCATTTCTTCTTCTTCTTCTTCTTCTTCTTCTTCTTCTTCTTCTTCTTCTTCTTCTTCTTCTTCTTCTTCTTCTTCTTCTTCTTCTTCTTTTTCTTCTTCTTCTTTTTCTTCTTCTTTTTCTTCTTCTTTTTCTTCTTTTTCTTTTTCTTCTTTTTCTTTTTCTTCTTTTTCTTTTTCTTCTTCTTTTTCTTCTTCTCTGCTGCTGCTGCTGCTGCCGCCGCCTCTTCCTGCCTATATATACCCATCCTGCTCTACTTCTCGTCAGTGTGACTTTGTAAATGATCCAAGTCGGACTGAAACGTTGTCGTAAGCTCCTCTCTTCTATGTGCGGGTTATTTGTGTACAGTATGCACATTATCCTCCATAAACATTTCTTAGTTTTTATATTTGTTTATATTTTCAGATTTGAATGCATACCATTCTATGATTGCACACCTGAAACGTTGGCCAGAATGATTAGCGAACCACTGCCATTTACGGTACCGCTTGATGGAATTCTATTTTATCACAAAGAAAGTCATTATACTCATGGTCCCACTCCTTTAATTGGCTGGCTAAAAGCATACATGTTTCCAGAAATTTTAGGTAAGTGATTACCGTAATATGGTGGTATAGGAGTTAATAAGGCATTAGTACAAAATCATGTAATGTAAATGTTAACATTATCATTGATATAACACACAAACCAACATAAAGCTGTTTCAGCCTTCAACAGAGGCTGTTTTGAGTTAGAGGCTAAATTATGTAGCTATTGTTTCAACCTGTGTTTCATTTTGTCTCCACGTCAGTTTGTGTGTTATATCAATTGGTTTGTTACTATATTATCATAGATATAGAGAAAGAATTAAGAAATGGTGTAGGCCAGAGTGGATTAGGAGAAACACTGTTCTGTGCTTTAAGCATACAGAGGGGATATTAGACAATAGGGTGACAATGAAATATACAGTGCCTGTAGAGACTGGGACACAAATGAAAAGATAAGGGGTATATTAAGGAAAAGCACCATGAGAGGTCTTTGAAATTTAGCAGACCTAGTGGCTTATTTTTCATTCATGACAACTTCAAGGAGAATTTATTGGCAGTAAAATTGCCAGAAGTATGAGTAGAAGTAAATAATTAATTAATATTCACTAAATTCTTTCTCTGTATGTTATTTACCTTTGTATTATTTATTTCATTAGGTATTGCAGTACCAGAGCATTTGTTGTCAGAGAGACCTGCAAAGTATATCAACCTTCCTGCACATATCCAGTATGGAAAAGATAAAAAAGAAAAAGGAAAGCCAAGAAGTGAAAAGGTATGATATTTAATCCAAATGTCATTTTATGATATAATTGTTATGCTTTCTCTCAGCAGAGCAGTGCCACTCTTTCTTTTCTCTGGTCAGTCCCCCACAGTATATCTATCATTTTTCCATCCACCCACCTAATCCTATTCTGAAAAGGTCTCTCACTGGGTCACACTGCCATTAGTCTCTCTACAACTGTGACCTCTTTAGGGAATGTTCCTTGATGCTAGTGAAAGGTTTTTGATTCCAGGAATTGGACTTTACTTTCTCTTCCTTGGATTGAACCTAGTTGCCTCCCAGACAGTAAGGTCCTTTATGGTAGGTTTATTGCTTGTCTCCCCATAAATGTAAAAATAATAATAATAATACAGCTGCAAGACATTAATGCCCTGTTTATTTGCCTTCTAGTACAGCTGGAGAAGTATACAATGATGATAAATTTTCTATCATACTCTTGGACTATATTATTTTAAGATTATAAGTGGGATGTAGGACAAAATAAGGCATTTAACATAAAAACTTATATTTATTATCTTATTTATGCGCTTGTTTTTTGACAGATGGAAGTTATGTGCGCAGAGAACAATAGGAAAAACAAAGAGTCATTAATAACTGACACTATAGAGACTCAGATGGAATCATCAGCTACTTAGCTTGTGGGGGAAGCTGTGGTCAGCATCTGTGACTACAGCATATGGTATTGGCAATATATATAGTAGATTAATTGAAATATTGTGTGGTAAGTTTTCATAGTTACCCGTCTTAACCTGAGAAAATATATCATACCGTGAAAATTTTTCTTATGGACTTTTACAGGTATCATTTGTCCATGCATGTTTTGTACGTCTGCATTCAATAAGCTAGAGGAAACATTAATTTACAACTTCTTGGTTACCTAGAATTTTTGTCATCTGGCCAGTTATAACAAGTGGTACATGTTGTTATAACTGGCTGAGAATCTCCCTGTCCCTCCATGTAAATATAGTTTAATCCATTTTTTAAATAATTTGTGCTTAAATTTTGAAGGAGTTGTCTTCAAACTTGAGAGACATGATTAAAAAAAAAATTGCTCTTGGGGAAATAAAAGCTAGTCTGGCTAGACGAGTATGTCTTGTCTGGCTGGTCTACATTTCAAGCAAGTCTAGATAGTTGTAATTATTTTGACAGTGATTATGTATGAATGATGGTGAAAGTGTTGAACAATGATGAAAGTTTTTTCTTTCTTCTTGAGTCCCCCTGCTTTGGTTGGAACAGCCGACGTGTTACAAAAAATTAAAAAAAAAAAAAAAAAAAAAAAAAAAGTCGGTCACAATGAAGCCAAAGTTTAAACTGGTCTGTGTTTATGTATCTTAATCTTGTCCGTAACCTGTTTGGAATTTTTATTAACCCTTAAACTGTCCAAACGTAGATCTACATTTGTTCCCGTAGCGCTCCAAATGTAGATCTACGTTTTTTTTACATGCTTTCTTATAAAGAAAATCAAGGTTGGAGCACTACGCTTGCAAACATAGATCTATGTTTGCACAGTTTAAGGGTTAAATTGGTTTACAGCTTGAGGCATTATAAATAAAAAAATGTGTATTTTTTCTAGGGCATCACTGAGCTTAAAACCAAGATCACAGATATATAAAGGTCAGAGGTCATTTTAATAGTGTTTATTTCTCTGCTTGCACATCCAATTTCATGTGCTTTAAGATAAAATAGAGAGAGCAAGGCAAGCTTTTCCTGGCCAGTATTTCACTGAGTTTTATAAACCAAGTTTTAAAGAAACACGTGTAACTATAATTTATATATTCCCCGAGAGTGTGAGAAAAGGTTTAGTAGTGACAAGTGAGATGAGACTAAATAATTAGATTAGGGTTTTTTTACCCATTTTGATAGTTAAGCTATAAGCAGTGCAAAACTAAAAGCCCACCTTCATGGAAGTCATCACAAACTCACTGTAAACTTAAGTACTCGCTTAAAGCCCTTAATACTTTATGTACACTTTTTTTAACATGGCCATTTCCCGAGAAGTTTATGACCTTACAAAAGAAATACCCTCACTGTCTTTCATTCAGTCACAGCTCAGATATCTTTCCAAACAGCAACATACCCACCCTCCCTCCCTGCTTCAGTGTAGGCACTGCACTTCCCACCACCAGGTCTCAAGTCCTGCTTAACATTATTATTTTTTCACATGGGTAATACCTAGTACTTATAAATGTTAGTGAATAAACAGGTCAGGGTTGTTGTTGTTATTGCTGTTCAGTCAGGGAATGTATAAACCTATTAATGTATAAACCTGTTGGTCATTCAGTGATACACGGCAAGGATGAGGCTGACAGCAACATCTACACAATTCCATGTGACACTTGATATATCCACACTGGAAATCAAATATGCACATGATTGCAGAACCTGTAACACAAGCAATGCATGTTGCCCAGAAGCTGCAGTTATACACATGACACTGTTGAAAAGAATTGGGAGTTCTTGGCATTGTGCAGCCTTTTTATTGCTACTTATTTTCCAAGACCACATTTAGACAGTGACCTAATGACATAAAAGCCTGTCGTCTATTGACAACACATCTTCCAACACCACGTCTCACCTACTGCAATGGAATATAAAAATTGTAATTGTGCTCCTCTGTAACACTATACAACTTAAACCTCAGTGAAACTTTCTTTGATAAATGCTCATCTTGCCAAGTGTCTTTATTTTATCCAAATTGTCAGGAATTTGTCAGTTTTTTATTCAGTGTAATCTCCTTTCAGGCTTCACACTTTTGTATTCATTTTATTTTTTGTCTTTAGATGTTAACATGTTACATTATACATGTTGCCCCAACAGTAAGTAGGTAACTTACGAAATCATAATGACACAATTGCAAACAAACCATGGTACGGGCGAGGACTGAACTCTTGACTAGCGAGTCATAAAACTCCAGACTAATGCGTTAACCACTGGGCTAGTTGGCTACAGTAAGATTCATCCAATTAGGTATATTTATACAGCATAGGCACCATCTGTAAAAACTTGCATTTGTGGTCACATTGGTGCCTATGCTAACCTTCCTATGGTGTGTATTATTATTATAATCAAGGAGGAAATGCAAAACCTGTAGGATTATACAGCAGCCTGTGGGGGGGATGTGGAAGGTATTCAGGCTTAATTCAGGGAACTGGAACACAGCTTCAATTCCCTACATCAGGATCCCCTCACCAGCATCAAGGAACCTTCCTTGAGGGGCCTATGGTGTATAAATATACCCAGTTGGACGAGTCTCATTGTAGCCAGCTGGCCCAGTGGCTTACATGTCGTTTTGAAGTTTTACGAATCCCTAGCCACGAGTTCAATCCCCTGCCCATACCATGGTTAATAAGTAGGTACCTGGGTGTTAATGACTATTTTAGGTTGCATCCAAAGGGGGGTGTTAATGACTATTTTAGGTTGCATCCAAGGGGGGTGTTAATGTACCTTAGACAGGGCTTGGCTTTGCAGTGAACTGAGGTAGGATAACAGCTTTTAGCCTGTAAATTAAAGTGTAAAAAAAAAATGTGTTCTGCTATGTATTTCATTAACTAAATTTTTATTTTGGCACTTCTTCAGAATGGCCAGTGTGTACATTTTATAAATACAGGTCCATATCCCTTGATCTGAAATTCGAAAAACTGAAGTTTTTTCGTGGAGTGTGGAGCATCGGTCATCTCCGTGCTGGGTCACGCCGCCACGTGGCGGCCTTGAGAATCGTTCTGAAATTCAAAACAGTACAGGTCCCAAGGGTTTTGGATAAAGGGATGTGCACCTGTATTGGTTCTTTTCTTATTACTCCATTCATTATGCCTCTCGTAGAAAGTGATGAAGAATTTGTAGTTTTGTATCCAGATATGTTGCTTTTACAAAGCCTACATGAATCTGTATTTTTTCTTGGTTAAACCAGTTAAGTTTTAATATCCCAACAGTACCTTAATGAATATACTTCAGATGGAAAATGCAGTTAACCATTTTAATTTGACTAATATTTTAGAGAGTAGCTTTCAAGCCTTCTAGGTCTTTGTCTTAAAAATTATCTAGACACCATAAAGTGATGAATGACCAGTGCAGGTTTTGCGTGTTTTCCTAGTGAATGCTGTACAACATAATTTAGCACTATTCCTCACGCCCTTCTAGGAGGGAAAGGGGCTGGCAGAGGCGCCTTGGTCCAAGGTGCATTGTTGTCCGAGGAATTGCAGCTACCCTTTCCTTCCTTCAACCTAACTTGATTACTTCTTGTTCTCCAGGTACTGTATGACCCTATAGGTTTAGGCTTTTTCTCCATAATTTAATTATGTAACCCAATGAGCAACACCACTTTTGATAGTGATTTATGGATCTTTATTATCTTGTGAATTAAAGTCAGTACAGAAAATAACTTTAATCAGCCTTTCTCAACTCTAAATTATTATTATAATCAAAAAGAAGCACTAAGCCACAAGGGCTATACAGCTCTCAACTCTAAAGCATTTAGATATAAAAAAAAAAAAAAATTAATTCAGTGTTACTTTTTCAACGAACCTGAGAAATGCTTTAAATTATTCACAGAATTTTAGTTCACAGTTGGTCCCAAAATATTTAGAGCTGTGTCATATAAGACGCTGTTTAGTTTAATAATAAAATTAACCAAAGCAAGTACTGAACCCATATGGGTCATACAGAAGTGCTGTTTAAACCTATTGTATTTTCATTATCTGACTGATATTTACCAGATTTATGTAATAGGTACAATATAAAAAGTTTTTATAAAGACTTTTATCCTACCCCTACAATGAGAGTAACAGGAGGAAACAGAGCTTGTCAGTTTTATTTTAACGGAATACAAAAAATTGAAATCCTCAAATGTAATTAAATGACTAAAATTGGGACATTTATGTTTTCACTGTAAATAGCCTTAACATTTCCGAAGTTTATTTCATCAATTAACTTGTTTCCATCGCAGTGCCAGTACCTGAAATGTATTACAAATACATGTTACTGAGACAATTTGTGACACATTGTTGAATTACCTGCTGTACAATATTTAACAAAATTTATTCTGCTTAAAAAAAAAGTTACAGCAGCTTACTGCCAAAAGAAAAGAAGACAGGTGCAAAGCAAGGTTTAATTGTAATGTTCTACTCAACATAAAGCTTTTATCATATCAATATTAGCACTTTTTGATTATAATAATTCATATCAATACAAAATACGAGACTGCCTATACTGTATGTTTTTTTTTTTTCAACAAGTCGGCCGTCTCCCACCAAGGCAGGGTGACCCAAAAAAGAAAGAAAATCCCCAAAAAGTAAATACTTTCATCATCATTCAACACTTTCACCACACTCACAAATTATCACTGTTTTTGCAGAGGTGCTCAGAATACAACAGTTTAGAAGCATATACGTATAAAGATACACAACATATACTGTATGTATATACATAAAAAGAACATGCTTATATCTTTTGTACTGACTTCTACATAGTTAATTATAGAACCTTTATGATACATAAAGGTAAAAAGTAAGCTTTTATTGTGATGTGATTGTGCAGAGAAAATTATGCTTGTACAGTGAACCAATAATTCATGCACATTTACATTTATCTTCAAAGACTGAGAAACTACTAAATAAGAAACATTGATTTTTTTTTTTTTTTTTGCAATTAAAATAAATGGGAAAACTGGCATATTGCCAGGTTTACATACTTGATAAAAGTTTAAAACCACTCACTCTAAATAAAAAAGAATTACTTAAATAACAATGCTCAAACTCTATAACCTATTTCACACCTCACCTTCATCAAACATAAATTCATCCTCGTATTCCTTGAGAAATTTCTGGGATCGCTGCTCATCAATAAATAGCTGGTACACCTTCTTAACATCTGGAATTGTTATCTGAAGAAAATAATGAATAATAATTTAATAAATTCAGTTTTTTCAATTATTACTATAATCAGGAGAAAAGCACTAAACCCACTGGGGTCATACAGTGCATGGGGACTTACTGTTATGCAGACTACTGCATTATTGTATGAATAATGTCAGTGCATTCCTGAACATGTACTAGGCTGACCAGTTAGACACGTATTGGATGAGTGACATAATTCGTGTACTATGGAATATCGGCAAAAATTGAACATTTCCGTTACTTTGAGTTCAATTTCGAGATACTTTCGGTCCTGAAACTAATCAAAATCATCTCTATTTCTGTAATACATCTTCCAATTCTATCGAATGATACCAAGAAACCGAGAATACGATCTTAAAAACCATCTGAAAATACTCTGCAAATTCACCATTTTAAACCAAAAATAGCTGCATTTCTCCATTATGTGCTGTATAACCCTTGTGGTTTATCGCTTCTTTTGATTATAATAATAATTCTCCATTATGCCCTGTGGGGGGGGGGGGGCAGAATTTTTTTTTATACAGTGCACACTTTCTCTCAAATCTAGGCCCAAATTTACCACTCACAGCTTATCTGAGTGAACTGAGCTCATCATAGTTCTACAGCATTGACCCAGAGCACAAAGCCGTAGTACTACAGCACAGGCCTCAAAAGGATTAATATACTGCAATTTACACACCTGTTTCTCTTTCCTCTTGATGGCAACAAGATTGGCCAACGTAATTAACTGAATAGCATAACGGAGAGAAGTTTCCAACCCTATTTTTGTAAGTACTACCAAGGCATCATCTTGAATTTCACAATCTTCTTCTTCACACCTGAAAGCAAAGGAAAATATTGGTAGCATTCACATGGCCATTTAAGTTGCATGCCTTGTTTCCTCTCTACGGTTCCTAGTCTTGAGGAGATGATCACATACAGGATCTCAACACCTTTACTGAGGAAATGACACGTGTAAAACACTTGCAATACAGCCTCTCCTCACTTAGCGACATACTCATTTACCGATGACTCGGACTTACAATGGGCTCTCTGACCAGAGTGCATACCTAAATAGTATATATTAGAGCTGATTTCCTCTATTCAGTTAATTACAATATACAGTACACTACTGTATAAACATTTAAAAATATACCAGAAATGTTATAAATGATGCAAAGGTGACATTAAAACAACATCAAAGATGGTTGACACAAACCCACTACCATTATAATATGCTCCTCACTTAGTGATGAATTTGTTTACCGATGTGGTCTTAGGAATGCAACTCCGTCATTAAGTGGAGAGAGGCTGTATCTGGAAATGTTTTGGTCATGGGACCTGGTTCACTCCTAAGTTCTTTGGTGTGAACAAAGTCCCAAGACAGAAACATTTCCTAATAAATGTTTTAAGTGTTTGTCACATGTCATTTCCTCAATTTGTAAGTATTATATACTGAATCCCCTCAAGGGAGGTTCCTTGATGCTGGTGAGGGGCTCTTGATCTAGGGAATTGGATCGTGCTCCAGTTCCCTGAATCGAGCCTGAATACCTTCCATTCCCCCCCCCCCCCCACATGCACTGTATAATCCTACAGGCTTAGCACTCCCCTATACAGTAATAATAATATATACTGAATATTGCATGCAGGTTCTTCAGTGTAACCTAGTTAATACGAATAAACTGTGCTCAAAACTGTAATAAAATATTCAGTGACATTACTGACTAACTGATAAAAAACCTATACCATAAATGTACACAAAAAACAAACTTTAATAGCTCTATTTTAAAATAATTTACGAACCTAATTTTCAAAATTTCCTTAATTTCTTTCTCTTGATATGGCAAGGTTTTTATGATGATCATTCGGTCGAGCAAATCAATTGGAATTCCATGAGGTGAGAGATTCTGAGTGCCTCTGATCCGAGTTATACCACGGTTGGTTGCGACTATCACTACTGGTGCCATGTCGTCTTCCAAGGCTCGGTTAAGGAATGAGAAACATTCAATATCCAACATGTGAACCTGTAGGGGAGATGCACATTAAAAGTAAAGCTTTAACTTCAATAAAAAAATTTTACTTACTAGTTCCAAGACACTGGTGAAAGATTAGTCACAAAATTTCTAGATATTCATGATTAGCCCTTAAACTGTTCAAACATAGATCTACATTCACTCGCGTAGTGCTCCGAATGTAGATCTACATTTTTTCACATTAAAAAGCAAGTAGAATCAAACGCAGATCTACGTTCGGAGCGCTACGTGAGCTAACGTAGATCTACGTTTGGACAGTTTAAGGGTTAAAGGTCCTCAAAGCAGCAGCATTTAAGGAAATATGATTTTGTAAGGACAGTCAATGCATACTTAAGACACTGTTTTAAAAAGACAAGACATGGAAAAATGGACTAGTGCAACATACCAAGCTTTAGTTTAGGTTTACACCTTTTGTTTAGTTAGACATCATCATTATTATTATATGGGTGTAAGCCAAAATATGTGAAAGAAAAACCATTCTCAGCCTGACATTTACTGATATCTAACATATATACAGTACAGTAGTTTTGGCATCCTCTATCAGGGCTTCACACGATGAAACAGTTCAAAACCAGGGCCTCAAATCATACTAAAATGACCTGTTTTTACCTATTTAATACATATTCTTAATCTACATAAAAATGGTATGTGATTTTAAGAAATTTTGAAATTCCACCAGAAATGGTTAAAAATGCTGAGCCATAGTCCTGTGATTTTTGGGGTGCAAAAAATCTTTTTCTTCAAAAAAAAAAATGGGAAACAGGCAAGATGGAACTGTTTGTTGGATCAATTACTTCCCACAAACACTAAAAATCCTGCACATATATATAACTTACTTGGAAGGTCAGATAGTTTTGATGAAAACATTGCATGCTCTTTAACATCAAGGTAGAGGTGACCTCAAAATCAGCTTTGTATTTCATATTTACTCTCTTTCTTGTACTGTACAGTAGGGCTCCAGTATCCACAGGTCCAGTATCCACAGTTTCAGTTATCTGGTGCTAACTGTGGCCCGAAAACAACCCTTAAACGGTCCAAACAAATCGACGTTCAAATTCGTAGTGGTACAAAAGTAGATCTACTTTTTTTAACATATTTTCAAATGTAACAACAAAAAAATGTAGATAAAAGTTTTTTTTACACGTTTTCAAATGTAAAACAAAAAAGAAGATCTACATTTTTTACATACTTTCAGATGTTGAAAAAACGTATATATACGTTTGGACCATTTAAGGGTTAATAATGGTCTCGAAGTGCAATAGTAGTAATGGTGGAAGTTCTTCATACCTTAAGAGAAGTCATGAAGTGCTTCCCATCAGTGAAAAAGTGATAATTCTCAACTTATTGTGTGTAATTTATCAATTAAACTTATAATAGGTATGCATGTAAATGAAGATTTATATATAGGTAGGGTTCGCTACTATCCATGGCAGGTTCTTGGAGCATATTCCCGCAGATACGGGGGTCCTACTTTACTTCATTTTTACAGTACCAAGGCCCTTGTAATGTTCTTAGCAGCATGAGATTTGATATCCTACCAAAACTGTTTCTGTTCCAATGCTCTGTAACTGCTTATTCATTATGCTTTAAACTTAAAATATATACAGTACCTCATCCACAAAGAGGACTCCAGGAACTAACTCAGCTTTGCCTTCCTCCCGCCATTCAGCCACCTTCGCATTAATCTGTTGTCTTACTTCACTTTTAATCTCACCAGTGTCACCTGCAGGAGATTAAAACATTATATAATAATGCTACTTATAATCAAGGCAAAAACGAACTCACTCCAACCACTTACAATTACTACTATTATTATTATTATTCTTTTTAACACACAGGCCATCTCCCACCAAGACAGGGTGACCCAAAAAGGAAGAAATGTTTTCTTCCTTAAACGTTTAGTAATTTATACAGGAGGAGTTACTAGCTCCTTGCTCCCAGCAGTTTAGTTGCCTCTTATGACATGTATGGCTTACTGAGGAAGGATTCTTCTCCATTTCCCCATGGAGAATTTTTTTTTTTTTTCAACAAGTCGGCCGTACTGCCTTGGTGGGAATCGGCCAGTGTGTTAATAAAAATATTAAAAAAAAGTCGGCCGTCTCCCACCGAAGTAGGGTGACCCAAAAAAGAAAGAAAATCCCCAAAAAGAAAATACTTTCATCATCATTCAACACTTTCACCTCACTCACACATAATCACTGTTTTTGCAAAGGTGCTCAGAACACAACAGTTTGGAAGCATATACGTATAAAGATACACAACATATCCCTCCAAACTGTTAATATCCCGAAACCCCTCTTTTAGAGTGCAGGCAATGTACTTCCCAATTCCAGGACTCAAGTCCAGCTATATAAAAATAACCAGTTTCCCTGAATCCCTTCACTAAATATTACCCTGCTCACACTCCAACAGATCGTCAGGTCCCAAATACCATTCATCTCCATTCACTCCTATCGAACACGCTCATGCACGCCTGCTGGAAGTCCAAGCCCCTCGCCCACAAAACCTCCCTTACCCGTTCCTTCCTTCCAACCTTTTTGAGGACGACCCCTACCCCACCTTCCTTCTCCTACAGATTTAAATGCTCTCCATGTCATTCTACTTTGATCCATTCTCTCTAAATGACCAAACCACCTTAACAACCCCTCTTCAGCCCTCTGACTAATACTTTTATTAACTCCACACCTTCTCCTAATTTCCACACTCCGAATTTTCTGCATAATATTTACACCGCACATTGCCCTTAGACAGGACATCTCCACTGCCTCCAACCACCTCCTTGCTGCTGCATTCACAACCCAAGCTTCACACCCATATAAGAGTGTTGGTACTACTATACTTTCATACATTCCCTTCTTTGCCTCCATAGATAACGTTTTTTGACTCCACATATACCTCAACGCACCACTCGCTTTTTTTCCCTCATCAATTCTATGATTAACCTCATCCTTCATAAAACCATCCGCCGACACGTCAACTTCCAAGTATCTGAAAACATTCACTTCTTCCATACTCCTCCTCCCCAATTTGATATCCAATTTTTCTTTATCTAAATCATTTGATACCCTCATCACCTTACTCTTTTCTATGTTCACTTTCAACTTTCTACCTTTACACACACTCCCAAACTCATCCACTAACCTTTGCAATTTTTCCTTAGAATCTCCCATAATCACAGTATCATCAGCAAACAGTAACTGTCAATTCCCAGTTTGTATTTGATTCCCCATAATTTAATCCCACCCCTCTCCCGAACACCCTAGCATTTACTTCTTTTACAACCCCATCTATAAATATATTAAACAACCATGGTGACATTACACATCCCTGTCTAAGACCTACTTTTACTGTGAAGTAGTCTCCCTCTCTTCTACACACCCTAACCTGAGCCACACTATCCTCATAAAAACTCTTTACAGCATTTAGTAACTTACCACCTATTCCATATACTTGCAACATCTGCCACATTGCTCCCCTATCCACTATCATATGCCCTTTCTAAATCCATAAATGCAATAAAACTTCCCTACCTTTATCTAAATACTGTTCACATATATGCTTCAATGTAAACACTTGATCTACACATCCCTTACCCACTCTGAAACCTCCTTGCTCATCCGCAATCCTACATTCTGTCTTGCCTCTAATTCTTTCAATTATGACCCTACCGTACACTTTTCCTTGTACACTCAGTAAACTTATTCCTCTATAATTTTTTACAATCTCTTTTGTCCCCCTTCCCTTTATATAAAGGGACTATACATGCTCTCTGCCAATCCCTAGGTACCTTCCCCTCTTTCATACATTTCTTAAACAAAAGTACCAACCACTCCAACACTATATCCCCCCCCCTGCTTTTAACATTTCTGTCATGATCCCATCAGTTCCAGCTGCTTTACCCCCTTTCATTCTACGTAATGCCTCACGTACCTCCCTCACACTTATATTCTGCTCTTCTTCACTCCTAAAAGATGGTATACCTCCCTGGCCAGTGCATGAAATTACCGCCTCCCTTTCTTCCTCAACATTTAAAAGTTCCTCAAATTATACAGGTACAGTATTCACATAAAATGCATTAAACCTATTTGAGCCAACTGCACTGAAAGACCCATAAAGGTTAAGTATTTTTTGTGAATAAAATATATTAATGAATCTGGGATTCCAGCAGTTGTAGTAACTAATTAGCACTCAGAATTGTTTTAGATTCCCCTATTACTTCCCACCTTCAGCTTGGAATAAGGTTTCCCTGATATTTACTGACCAGCCAGATTGGAAGACAGCATAGCTATTGAGGCTATACATGCAAAGTCATGGGTTACGAGTCATGACTCTCATCTTATCAGTCGTACTGGACTTTAAATTCGTATTGACAACCATGTATACATTTTTTTTTTTTTCAACAAGTCGGCCATCTCCCACCGAGGCAGGGTGACCCAAAAAAGAAAGAAAATCCCCATACCATACATAATAATAAAACTAACAACAATAATATTAATACAGACATGTCCTGCTTTACAGCACTTTGTTTTATGGTATTTCGCTAATACAGCGGTTTTCAGTTATACTCATTCTTCATTTATTCAGACTTCCTACAATAAATATATTCACCACTCATTATAATTTTATTATTATTATTATAATCAAGGGGGAAGCGCTAAACCCATAGGATTATACAGCGCCTGTGGGGGGGTGGGGTGATGTGGAAGGTATTCAGGCTTAATTCAGGGAATTGGAGCACAGATCCAATTCCCAAGATCAAGATCCCCTCACCAGCATCAAGGAACCTTCCTTGAGGGGACCACTCACTATAAGCTAAGGATAAAAATATTTCAAGGTAAGTAATGTGTGTACTGTATATGAATTTTTTCTAGGCCTAGGTATATTGCTCACCTAATATATGACAGCATGAACATGTTATCAAGCTTTAATATTCATTTGAAAGTGAAAAAAGCTATGATTCACATTACAGCTATTTTTGCTTTACTGCAGTAGCCTGGAACCTAACCTGCTGTATAAGCAGGTTAGGTAATAATAATAATCAGGCATAAGAACACCGAATTGTGTAAAAAACTCTGTTAAAAAGGTGATGTTCCACTTAGTATGCTAAAAAGGTGATGTTCCATTTAGTATGCTAAAAAGGTGATGTTCTATTTAGTAATTCTATGATTATGCGTATTCACAGCATCACGAGTTGGCTGTAAACATACGTACAGAGAGTTAAATCTTCACCTCAGCTGACAGTTGGATAGATAATTATTTATAGGGCATTCATTGGTGGATACCTGAATTTGTAACTGTTTACACTGAGGAGAGGGCATGGTGGTTGGCTGTATACTGTATACCAAAAACAGGCATTTTATTATATGCCTATGATGTTTCACTTACAAGAGGCTTGATTAAGTACTTGACAAAGTCTCATATAGATGAAATGTTGTATTTAGGAAAATGCCAACATTTCTTATATATTTTTTACCCTACAAGCTCAAGATACTTGTCACTGATCATGCCTTTTTACCCAACCCAAAATCACTGGTATGCATCAAGGCTACTAAAGGCTTTCACATCCTTTCCAGTGTACAGAGACATTATTCACCAAGTAACGATTTAAATCATGCGTTTATCATATAGCTAATCAATACAAGTTTATGCAGAGTCGCATGCAATATGGCTGACTGCAAAGAAATTAATAAAGCCAGGGTGATCCAGTATTTTTTTTTTTTTTTGTAAAATACAGTGCAGTAGTTCATCAATTAGTCAAAGATTAGTTACTCAGCAGTCTTGCTAGATCCAGCACCTAAACAGATAATGTGAAGGTACCATATAAAGATGTTTTCTACTATAGTTGAAGATAGTGTTCTTCCAATTCTTAGAACACAGGATAAATAATGATCTATTATAATACCTTCTAGATTTACACAATAAATCAATATAAATATCCAATTATTCTCAGTATCTTATACACTACTACAAGGTAACAAATTATGAAGTATACAAACCTATGCAGTATTATGACACACAGAGTATATACATACCAGAAAACAATGCCAGAAAGCCCTGTGTGCGATTATTAATGACATCAATTTCATGTAGTGTAACAGTGTGAACCACCTCCTTCCTTTTTTGAAGCTCACCTCTGGGCACTGAACAAACCTGAAACAAATACAACAAAACAAAAGTTTAGCTACAGCCAAGAATGTATCCCTTAAGTCTCATTATACTTTTGTTTAAAATACAAATTTAACACAAAACTAAGCACGTTATGGAGCATTTTAAAAGGCAGGATGTAAACTTCACCAACCATTCTAGAAGGGTGTAAACCTTGCATACTAATTTTTTTTTAACACACCAGTTGTCTCCCTTAGAGGCAGAGTGACCCAAAAAAGAAGAAAAACTTTCATAAAGTTTTTCTTCATTTTACATTCAGTAATTTATACATGAGAAGGGGTTACTAGCCTCTTGCTCCCAGCATCCTTCCTCCTGTGTAGCTTACAGAGGAAGGATTCTTCTCCACTTCCTCCATGGAATATTTGCAAAAAGTCATTGTTTATTAAATTTGGAATGGATAAACCCCATCTTTCCAATTCATGAAATAAAATAAGATGACCAATAAATAATGAATAATCACTGACTGATTACCTTGTTTGAGGGCCAGTGGCATCATAATCTCGAGCACGTGTGAAGGAGCGCCCCAGCTTGGTTATCTTCCCAGTGGCTTTATCAATTGTTATAACATCACCAGCTTGTACCTGGAAAAATTAACAATTATATGGACAAACATTGCAACGAAAAAAAATGAATGTAGCTTTTTTAGCAACACGGTCCTAATAAAGCAACAGCAGATAAAAGTTCTTAAACTGATAAAAAGAAGTATTTCATGAATGGTGTACGCCTTAAATCATCTACCCACACGAACAAAATTATTGATTAGTAAAACCTAAATAAAAACTTCCATTATTTGTAAACATATTTTAATTTACCTTTTCCTTAGTAAGGGCTTCAATTAGCTTGTTCCCGAGGTCATATATAGTTTCCATCTCTAGTGTTTTAAGAGTCAGTTTGCCCACTTTGGCTCCTGTTCCTGTTGCTGGGCGGTCTATTTGCACTTCAACAACCTCTCCTTCAATAATCTCTGTTTCCTCTTTGATACCACAACCATTATCGGACTGAAAGCCTTAGTCAGAACTTCTGTCTTGGACATCCCCAGGCTGTGAAGAAATGATTTTAGTAAACAATAAGCGGATTCTTATCAAGTCACCAATCAATATCAACCTGGTTTGCTTGAAAAGTCCCCTCAAGGAAGGTTCCTTGATGTTGGTGAGGGGCTCTTGATTTAGGGAATTGGATCTGTGCTCCAGTTCCCCGAAAATTTGCCTGAATGCTCTCCACACTCCCCCCAGGCGCTGTATAATCCTCCGGGTTTAGCGCTTCCCCCTTGATTATAATAATAATAATAATTGCTTGAAAAGTAAAAACCAGTGTGTGCCTAGGTAGAGAAAAATATGATTTGTGGTAACAGCACCAGGAAAAATGGGAGAAAATCAGATTTGAGCAAATAATGAGGATAGCTCCAAACCCTCAGATCAAGAGGCCTTCACCAGTTACAGGGCTGGATATACAAACACTCATGAGTGAATGCAGCACAAGACTCTTAACTCCATGGGTGATAATAATGTTTATTATTTCAATATATACAAATATTGCAAGTTATATAATTATTCATGTAAAGACATATTAATTACCTGTATATCTCTGAAGCAGATATAGCTGTGAAAGGTGTGTCTGGTCCGAGGGACTGTGCCAAGCCAAGGGCAATGGCAGTCTTGCCTGTTCCAGGTTGGCCTGCAATAAGGACTGCTTGGCCTGCCAGCTTGCCTTCCTTTATCATGTTCTGCACTACACCTGCTGCCCTCCTCGCCTGTCATGAAACAAATATATATGAATATTAAAAATATATACTGTCCCTGTACTGCAAATATGTACAAGATAAGACAAACTTTCCTTTGATATACATCTATAGTATCAAGAAATATATAATAATCATAGATTTACAAGGTATGCAGCAATAACATTACTGACTCCCCCATTTATAAAACCCTTGTAGAAAAAATATAGGAACGACAAACCTAAATACGTACTATATTCAAAATCTAATGTATGGGAATCCACAACAGCAAATCATTCAAAACATATTATAATCTAACAAAATTCTGTGGCTTGAATAATCAATGCGATTCCAGACAACACACACCTTAAAGATTTGAACCTATTTAATGTACAAAATATCCACACATATTACTGTCCTTGATATAAACATTAACCTGGTGAGCAGCAACAGATCACATATGTTATAATTGTAAATATGTATTGTATCTAACATATCTTTTAGCTACCAGTAGCTTAGTAAATTGCTTCCTCACTGCTTTAATCACAACAACCGCAATTAACTTAACCTTTAAACTTCCAAACATAGATCTACGTTCACGTGCAGGGGGCTCCGAACGTAGATCTACGTTTTTTTTACATGCTTTCAAATGGGGAAAATCAAGGTCGGAGCGCTACGCATGTGAACATAGATCTACATTTGGACAGTTTAAGGGTTAAATACAGAAACTGTATATGCTGAAGTGTCTCTTTAAAATTACTATTCCATTTAGTAGTCATTATCTCCACACCTGTACTAGTATTTAGTAGTCATAGTGAGATGAATGTTTTTTGGGATCTGATGAGCTGTTGGAGTGTAAGTAGGGTAATGTTTTATGAAGGGATTCAGGAAAACTGGTTAGGCAGACTTGAGTCCTGGCATTGGGAAGTACAATACCTGCATTTTAAAGGAGGGGTTTGGGATATTGGCTGTTTGAAGGGACATCTAACCTGTCACATCTGAGTGCCTCTGCAAAGACAGTGACTATGTATGAATGATGGTGAAAGTGTTGAATGATGATGAAAGATTTTCTTTTGGGGTTTTTCTTTCTTTTTGGGTCACCCTGCCTCGATGGAAAATGGCCAACATGTTTAAAAAAAAAAAGTATTAGTTTCAGTCTGCCCTAAAGGCTTTACCTCAGTATATAGACATTTTTTTTTTTTTTACAAGTCGGCCGTCTCCCACCGAGGCAGGGTGACCCAAAACAAAAGAAAATCCCCAAAAAGAAAATACTTTCATCATCATTCAACACTTTCACCACACTCACACATAATCACCGTTTTTGCAGAGGCACTCAGAATACAACAGTTTAGAAGCATGTACATATAAAGATACACAACATATCCCTCCAAACTGCCAATATCCCAAAACCCTCCTTTAAAGTGCAGGCATTGTACTTCCCATTTCCAGGACTCAAGTCCGGCTATATAAAAATAACCGGTTTCCCTGAATCCCTTCACTAAACATTACCCTGCTCACACTCCAACAGCTCGTCAGATCCCAAATACCATTCGTCTCCATTCACTCCTAACACGCTCATGCACGCTTGCTGGAAGCCCAAGCCCCTCATCCATAAAACCTCCTTTACCCCCTCCCTCCAACCTTTATTATATTTATTATATATTTATTATATTTATATTGTTATATTTGGCTACAAAGAAGCAGAAGACTAAGCTACAAATTGGATTTATTTTTTGTTTTTTAATACACTGGCCATCTCCCACTGAGGTACAGTGACCCAAAAAAAGAAAACATTTTCACCATCACTCACTTATCACTGTCTTACCAGGGACACACCAATACTACAGTTTAGATGCCCCTCCAAACTGCAAATATTCCCACCCTTTCTTCAGAGTGCAGGCACTGTGCTTTCCACCTTCAGGACTCAAGTCCCTGGAGGCAGGAAGTATATAAATATTACTTTGCTCACACTCAAACAGCATATCAAGTTAAGAAAACCACTTGCCTCCAACCCTTCCTAAGATGACCCTAACCACTTCCCTCCACTACAGATTTATATTCTCCAAGTCATCCTAATTTACTTCACCCTCTCTAAATGTCCAACCACTTCAACAATCCCTCCATAGCCGGATTACTAAAAGTATCATCCAGAAGGGTAATAGCTTTAGTAATCCGGCACACCTCCTCCTAATATCCAAAATATGAATTCTCTACATAATATTTAAACCAAACATTGCCCTCAGATGTGACATTTCCACTGCCTCCAGCATTTTCCCTCATTCAACAGTCACAACACAATAACTTATTGCACCCTCAGAATCTGTCAAACTGAAAAGGGAATATTCATAATATAGAATAGTGTATGAATATTCTCTTTTCAATCTGACAAGACTGTGCAATAAGTTATTGTAAAATGTCAATTACATTACAGAATGTTTTTTTACACTGGTACTGATCTTCCTTTTGACAGTTGTGGTCTCCACGCACTAAGTCTATCACTACTCCTATAAATTACTTTTATGCCCATACCTTAACTTGTCCAACCATTCCCTGGGCCGATTGTTTGGGAGTTAGGTCATCCGTCAGTCCTAAGCCACGGATGTGAGAGTGAGCGCCAATGCGCTCAATCCTTGTCACCTCATGCTCTTCCGCTGTTAGACCAACCTGGAAAATAAAACACTATTAGCTACTGCATATCACTTATTTACTATCAAATTAATTCTGACAATAGTCAGTTTGGTTACAAGTGTAAGTTTATTTTTGTACAGGTACACATATCACATAGTAACATGTGAAAAATTACCCAGGGGCCCCGTGGCCTGACTGGCAAAGCTTCGCTTCACACGCTGAGGGCCTGGGTTTAATTCCAGGCGGGGTGGAAACATTTCAATGCATTTCCTCACACCTGTTGTCCTGCTCACCTAGAAAGCAGGTACCTGGATGTTACTCAATTGGTGTGGGTCGCATCCTGGGGGACAAGATTGAGGACTCCAATGGAAATAAGACAGACAGTCCCTCGATGATGCACTGCCTTTCTTGGGTTATCCTGGGTGGCTAACCCTCTAGGGTTAAAAATCCGAACAAAATCTCATCTTAGAATAACCTTCAAAAGTCAAACTGACTTATTTCCACTGTTGTACTTGTACCTTATTACCCCTCAAGGAAGGTTCCTTGATGTTGGTGAGGGACTCTTGATTTAGGGAATCTGGATCTATGCTCCAGTTCCCCGAATTAAGCCTGAATGCCTTCCAAATCCCCCCCCCCCTAGGCGCTGTATAATCCTCCGGGTTTAGCGCTTCCCCCTTGATTATAATAATAATAATGTACCTTAATAAGATAAGTAGAAGTAGATAAGTTTCGTTTGATTTAACCCCGAGGGTTACCACCAGGATAAACCCAAGAAAGTCAGTGCATCATCGAGGACTGTAACTTATTTCCATGGGGTCCTTAATCTTGTCCCCAGGATGCGACCCCACACAGTCTACTAACCCAGGTACCTATTTTCTGCTAGATGGAACAGGAACACACAGTGTAAGGAAACGTGTCGAATGTTTCCACCCCCGGAATCGAACCGGACCCTCCGTAGTGTAAGCGGAGCTTTAGCCACATCCACCCCACAATCTTGTAGTACTTGACAAACTACAATCCAGTGCTAAAGGATCACACCACTGTAACCATAATGTTTTAACTTTTCCTGAATTTTAACCCTTTAGTTTACATGGTTACTAATCCCAGGACCCAGAGTCTTTTTATTTAGGAATAAAACTCAATCACTGGCTATCGAACTCCCAGGTAATTTATTATATATAGCTAATATGGACAGGACATATGTTACACTAGCCTACACGTCTCACCTCCCCCAGGATTGTGCCCGGAACCTCCAGTTATGAGCCGAACATTCCACATCAGTAGCAACAATGGAAATAAGTCACTGACTGCTTCTACTGCTTCACAAATAACATCAATCCTACCTAACAAATCTGGTAACAGACAAACTAAATCAGTGAGGTTAAGAAGTGTTGAGTCTGGCCAGCACCTGGACGGTGGTAACCCACGTGGGGTAAACTTCGTCCTTTTAAACCTTATTAAGCCCTGGAATTCCCCTTATATGTATTTACATAAGCAATGTAGTTATTAGAATGACAACTTACAGACCAGTAGCTACTGTTTTTATTTTACCGATAATAAAACTCGTAAAATTTACCATCCGTTGGCTGTCGGGATCACCAAGGCTCCAATCTTTATTAAATAGCTATCAGGTACATTATTACCTATAACATAGTTAGAGATTACAGTCAACTCAGTGTGCATACACAAAGGTGCACACATCTCAGCGTATTTATTCTGTAAAAGGGTAAAAACCAAGGTACTCACGGCCGCCATGGTGTTTGATGACAAACTTGTTGTGATGACAGAACACAACTCTCACCTGATTGGCTGAGAACCAGGTCCAGGACGTCTCTGATTGGTTCACACACACGACGCCATCTTGGATGGGTTGCCATGGTAACCCAAGTTGACGCACTTCAGGTAAGTAAGTAAGTAAGTAAATTTATTCAGGTATACACAAATACAGTTACATAGAATTATCATACATAGCAGCATATGTGTAGAGAACCTAGGATAACCAAAAAAGTCAGACAGAGTGACTTATTTCCATTGGGTCCTTTTACCTTATTATTATAATATAAAGGATATAATATTTTCTTATTATTCTACAATGAAGATAACATCTTATTATCATACTAAAAAGACTATCTACTACACGAGGGTCATTAAGACTATCTACAATACGAGGGTCATTACTAGGAATAAGGTAAAATTTACACGTATTTTAGCTAAAAAATAGAAAATCATTCCCCTCCCTTTCTGTAGCTTCATTCATCAGACACTTTTTGGCAGTCTTCTTGAACTGGTTCATGCTATGACTGGCTTTGACATGTGCGGGTAGTCTGTTCCATTCCTTTATTGCTGTACAATAAAAGGTGTTTGAAGCCTGGCCAATGACTGTGGGTACTACAAAGTTGTGCTCTCTCCCCCTAGTACTATGATTGCTTTGGTGTATTTAAATAAAATGAAAATAAATGACTAAATCTTTATTTTCCATGAATTACAATGTGGATTACAATGTTTAACCATGATGATTTACATGAATAAGCCCTTAATTATGCAAGGCAAATAATGTACCCTTCAGAAGGGGGGGGGGTACTTTGATAATGGTGATGGGCTTTTGATTCAAGGAACTGGAGCTACCCTCTTCTTCCATGGATAAAACCTATGCTCCGTTCATCAGAAGCTGTACGACCCCTACGGGATTAACGCTTACCCACGAATATCACAACAACAACAACAACAACAACAACAACAACAATAATAATAATAATAATAATAATAATAATAATGTTTTTTTTATACTCCTTCACATATGTGATCATGTATGAAACATTTCGACCACTGGACAACATCATTTCGACCACTGACCAGTCATTACGCACATGGGGACGAAAACAAGAGTCACACTGTAGGCAAGAGATTGAAATAAACAATCTATCAAATGAATAATCTATCGAAATTTACAGAGCATCTCTCACTGGTTTTGGTCTCCACGTTGGTAGTGAGTTCTCATTAAAAAACCATCCTAGTTGGAGAAATTTAGATTTAGAAAGTATATAGGAAAGCACTGGTTTGGCAATAGAGTTGTGGATGAGTGGAATAAACTCTCAAGTAGCGTAATTGAAGCTAAATAAGTTAGACAAGTACATGAGGGGGTTTGGGTGGATGCGAGTTGAACATGCCTTGCATGGGCCAGTAGGCCTGCAACAGTGCTCATTCTTTCTTATAACATCGTGTTCTTACGTAAACAAATTAATAAATTACGCCCAATTTAATCTAGGATAACCCACTGAAATCAAACAACATGACTTATTTCCACTGGAGACTCTTGAAGCATCAACAATTACATCTTGTATGGGCCAGTAGGCCTTCTACATTGTTCCTCCATTCTTATGTGCCTATCTCTCTTGAGCATAGGTTGTATCTCTGAATTCTTGAAGGATCTCTCATTCAAGCATAAGCACTCTGGGTATGGGAATAATTTTATTGATAATTCTTCTATTTACCACTGTATGCGTCAACAACGTTCTACTGCCTTATTCTATATGATAGTTACACTGTGGGAACAAAAGCTCGTTGTTACTGTATGTTCCAGCTGTCATAATCCATCACACAGGATGGGACTCATACAGGGTGTTGAAATCTGTCAGACAGATCTGGGAGACTTCATTAGAAGAACGAGGATATCGTCAAAGCTTCCAATATGTATTCATCAACTACGGCAGCTTCAAAGGTTTCGTTCCAGCAGAGCTGGAGTAGTGATAAATAGTTTAGTGAACCTTCAAAATTTTTAGATTTTAGATTTTGCCACCGAAGTGGCTAGTTTATTGTGCAGGTCATATCCATCCTGTTGACGGTAGGGCAAGAGCATATGGATACACAAAAGGCCTAGGAACAAGGCCCCAAAAGAGTTAACAGGTGTACTTATGGGTCTATAACTACGTATGTACAGTTCACTACCCACAAAATTGATAGACTGAACTCATCGATTCCAGGCTGAGGGACTGATTACCCCAAACTCCTCCTCTATTTCCACCTTTCTTTTCGGTATTGGACTGATGAAGCTGTGGCGAAACGTGTCCTCAATAAAGATTCCAAAATTATTGCACAAGTGTCTCAGAGCTGGAGTTACTGTCACCTGGAAACCGTCATCATCGAGGACAGCCTATCCTATGAACATGAAAAAATTAAAAATATTTACAATTGCCTAGATCTACATCAGCTGGTGGTGCAAACTTCCAGCAGTAACAGCCTAGTTGTTCAGACCCTGATCCACCACGAGGCCTGGTTTCAGACCGGACCTCGGGGGCGTTGACCCCCCAAAACCCTCTCCAGGTAAACTCCACGTAGGTTCATATATATATATATATATATATATATATATATATATATATTATATATATATATATATATATATATTAATATATATTACTTTCGCTAATAAATAGGGAAAATCTAATTACGTTGGTAATTGAAGTTCGTTGCGTATTACGATAAAACGCAGAATTTACAACGATAACATAATTTGTAACTGGTGTAATATGTCACTGTTGCAGCTTCCATGAATGTAGTTAATATTACCAATAAGGATGTCCGGGACTCAGTACCTCAAGCAATCAGGGATCTCTGGTACTCAACAGTACTGCCAATGAGGGGGCTCTGGTGCTCAACAGTACTGCCAATGAGGGAGCTCTGGTGCTCAACAGTACTGCCAATCAGGGAGCTCTAGTGCTCAACAGTACAGCCAATCAGGGATCTCTGGTGCTCAACAGTACAGCCAATCAAGGATCTCTGGTGCTCAACAGTACAGCCAATCAGGGATGTCTGGTGCCCAACAGTACAGCCAATCAGGGATCTCTGGTGCTCAACAGTACAGTCAATCAGGGATCTCTGGTGCTCAACAGTACAGCCAATCAGGGATGTCTGGTGCCCAACAGTACAGCCAATCAGGGATCTCTGGTGCTCAACAGTACAGCCAATCAGGGATGTCTGGTGCTCAACAGTACAGACAATCAGGGATGTCTGGTGCCCACCAGTACAGCCAATCAGGGATCTCTGGTGCTCAACAGTACAGCCAATCAGGGATGTCTGGTGCTCAACAGTACAGACAATCAGGGATCTCTGGTGCTCAACAGTACAGACAATCAGGGATGTCTGGTGCCCACCAGTACAGCCAATCAGGGATCTCTGGTGCTCAACAGTACAGCCAATCAGGGATGTCTGGTGCTCAACAGTACAGACAATCAGGGATCTCTGGTGCTCAACAGTACAGCCAATCAGGGATCTCTGGTGCTCAACAGTACAGCCAATCAGGGGTCTCTGGTGCTCAACAGTACAGCCAATCAGGAAGCTCTGGTGCTCAACAGTACAGCCAATCAGGGATCTCTGGTACTCAACAGTACAGCCAATCAGGGATCTCTGGTGCTCAACAGTACAGCCAATCAGGGATCTCTGGTGCTCAACAGTACAGCCAATCAGGGATCTCTGGTGCTCACAGTACAGCCAATCAGGGATCTCTGGTGCTCAACGGTACAGCCAATCAGGGATCTCTGGTGCTCAACAGTACAGCCAATCAGGGATCTCTGGTGCTCAACGGTACAGCCAATCAGGGATCTCTGGTGCTCAACAGTACAGCCAGTCAGGATGCTCTGGTGGTCGACACTTCTCTGGACATTCCTCCATAATATTCTCGTTCTCAAAATTTTTCTTAAATCTGAAAGAAAAAAAACATTATATAAGTAAATAAGAAAAGTCTGGAATATATTCTTGACTAAGTTAACATATATCAAAATAAACTTTATATCTACAACGAACGGATTGCAATTGATTCAGAAATAGATATTATGGACATCACTTACAGAAAGCTCTCTGGAAAGCATTTCCAGCAGCCTTTAAATAGACTTATGGATGAGTCAAAGGGACGTTAGGAAGTATTTCTTCAGTCATAGAGTAGTCAGGAAGTGGAATAGTCTAGGAAGTGATGTAGTGGAGGCAAGAACCATACATAGCTTTAAGACTAGGTACGATAAAGCTCGTGGAGCAGGGAGAGAGAGGACCTAGTAGCGTTCAGTGAAGAGGAGGGGGCCAGGAGCTGAGCCTCGACCCCTGCAACTACAATTAGGTGAGTACACACACACTTCTCTTTTTGGCTCCTGAGATTATTCTCACACTTTATTGGCCCACATTTTACTCTCTTATCTTCTCTCTCTCTCTCTCTCTCTACCTATTTACCCACACCATCGAGTTTAATGACAATTTCCAGAATCTGACTACGTTAGGCTCCCGTTTTCAATACGAAACTGGAATTATTTGCAATGATTTACAAGCTGGTAAGTCTGTAGATCAGCTTCTGTGTTATTTTTATTAGTATCTTCATTCTCTTAGAAGAAAACTGGTTGATCAAATGCATTCTCTCCCCCAATATCAGCCAAACACTTCATCCACAAAGGCAGAAATCACCTGATCAACTCACCTGCGGCAGCCAACAAAAAGACCGTCCACCCTCTGAGTAGGCCAGGGTATGGAGTCCTTCTCATACTGCCCACACCTGTAGCTGTCATGGGTCAACGCGTGACCTTTTATGACTGGCCACATGATCTTCTGTGGAAGGGAGAACTTTAAGTTTAACTCTTATCTACTGCACCTGTGTCATTATGGTCGAAATGTCCAATGTACACTATTCTCAACAATATTTCAGTACTTGAAATTGGATATAAAATAATGTCTTGGTGTACGTAATGTGAGATGCACAGGTCTCGGAGTATATGCAGTGAGAAATACTCAGACCCCGGTGTATGTACAGTGAAAAATACACGGCTCTCGGAGCATATACACGAAGAAATACAGACCTTGGTGCATATACAGTGAGAGATATACAAATCTCGGCGAATATACCTCAGTCAGTATGGTATTGGATGAGTTTGTAAATAATGCAGGTTCCTGCTCAATTCTTTATAGTTTACTTTTCCTAAATACTGTATTTTATAATTTACAAGCGAGAGGGCAGGTCAAAGGATATTTCAGAAGGCAGGTGAAAGGGCAGATTAAAGGACATTGGGGATGGCAGATGAGAAGGTGGGTGAAAGTGCTGGGAGGAAGCTTGAACAAAGGGCCGATTTAAGAAGAATCGATGTATTATTTGGATGGAATATTTCAAAATCTCTGGGATACTATGAGTGATGGGGATACCACTGAGATGCTGTTGGTGCTAGGGGATTCATGTATGGATAAAGCAAATAACAGCTCGTGAGTGAAACGCTGACTTGTGTAAGGGTGAATGGAGTCTGAGCATGGACTTGCTACCTGAGGAAGCCAAGTGTTCTAGATAGTGACATCCACTCACGTCTAGTATGCGCTGATCGCCTCCATAATTCTGGGCCTTTTTCCTCTTAGCTAGCGTCATCATGTCGTCCCTGAGGACTGTCAGGAAATAGCCGTGGTATTGTGTATAGTCCAAATCATGGTTTCCTGAAGTGAATCCGGCTGACCAAGAGTCCTGGTTTCGGGCGGCGAATGCAGTGGTGCTGAGATTATCTTTTCGGGCAGCGGGTCTGGTTGGATTGGAATTCAATCTTTGGACAGCAAGTTCGACTGTATCCGAATCCTTGTGATAAGCAGGAAATCCGGTGTTGCCCATGTCCTGGTTTCGGGCAGCAGGTCCGGTGAGATCAGGACCCCAGCGGACGCCCCACAAACCAGCCAAGAGAAGAGAGTCATGTTTGGGATGATCTCGCATGATGTGGAACTGTTTGCCTGACGACAGCCACTCCCTCACAGCATCCACTTCACGCTGAATTATCTGTAAAGTAGAATGTAGGCTTTAAATTCACCTTTAATCTGCAAATAGAGGAGCCAACAAGATTGGAAAACACACTGGACCTCATCTTCACTAATAATAATGATTTGATGCGAAATATAACAGTATCAAAGACAATACACTCATATCACAACATAATAGAGATACAGACGTACATGCGCAGGGCTCCTGACCACATAAGGGGATCAGTTATAAGGGTGCCTTAACGAAATTCAACTTAAATAACAAAAACATACAGTGGGATCAAATCAACCATGTCCTAAATGAAACAAGCTGGGGCGATATGCTAATCAACACGGATCTGAATCTTTGCCTAGAAAGATTAACTCTGTGACACTTAGGGTATGTTCAAGGCACATTCCTTTAAGAAAAAGGAAGAGAAGATGCAAACTAGAAAGAGAGACGCTCCAAATACAGACGATGGCGAAGAATCACAGAGCTGCTGAGAGGGGCCAATATATCTGAAATAGGAAAGGAGGCACTGATCGGAGAAACAGAAAATATCGAACCTAAGCTCAAGGAATCATACAGGAGACAAGAATCTCAGGAAGAACTTAAAGCCATAAATGTAACTGAAAGAAACCCAAAATGTTTATTTTCTTATACAAAATATAGAGCAAAAAGAACATCCAGTATTGGGCTCTTGCTCAGACGATTTGGGACTTTCACTGATGATAGCAAAGAGATGAGTGAGATACTGAAGTCCCAATATGACTCAACGTTTAGTGAGCCGTAAACAAGACCGAGACTCACAATTTGGTTAATTAAAAAATCTCTGATATCATCATAACACCACAAGACCTTGAAAAGGCAATAAATGACATGCCTATGCACTCTGCGCCAGGTCCAGACTCGTGGATCTCCGTGTTCATCAAGAACTGCAAGAAGCCCCTTTCACGTGCCTTTAGCGCATTCTGTGGAGAGGGAGCATGGACTCAGGGAAAATCCCACAGTCACTAAAAATAAGACAGTCCCACTCCACAAAGGTGGCAGCAAAGCAATTGCAAAGAATTACAGACCGATAGCACTAACGTCCCACATTATAAAAATCTTTGAAAGGGTTATAAGAAACAAGATCTCAGTCCACTTAGATACCCATCAGTTACACAACCCAGGGCAGCATGGGGTTAGAGCAGGTCGCTCCTGCCTGTCCCAACTACTGGACTACTGTGACAGTCTTGGATGTTATGGAGGACAAACACAATGCGGATATAGTATACACAGACTCTGTGAAAGCCTTCGACAAGTGCGATCATGGTGTAATAGCACACAAAATGCATGATAAAGGAATAACAGGAAAAGTTGGTATATGGATCTATAACTTCCTAACAAATAGAACACAAAGAGTAATAGGAAACAGAGTAAAGACAGAGGCAGCTACAATGAAAAGCTCTGTTCCACAACTCACAGTACTCGCTCCCATCCCGTTCCTCATCCTCATATTGGACACAGATAGAGATGTAAGCCACAGCACCGTGTCTTCCTTTGCCGATGATACCCGAATTTGCATGACATTATCATCCATCGAAGACAATGCAAGACTCCATGCAGACATCAACCAAATCTTCAAATGAGCCGCAGAAAACAATATGAAGTTCAATGAAGAGATATTTCAATTACCCCGATATGGAAAACTCGAGGAAATTAAAACTGAATCGGAGTATAAAACAAATTCAAACAACACAATAGAGTAAGTGGTCCACCTAGTGGACCACCTTGAAAGAAGTTATTAATGTACAGCAATATTCCATCCTATAGAGAACAAGCAATAGGTGGTAATTATATATCCTGATGGTCCACTTAGGAATCATCTACATCAGACATTAAATATGTACCACGGGGATTACCTAATCATCACCTGCGTATCCTTGGGGCTTATTTTTCTCTTTCATCACCTACGTACCATTGAGTCAGTGTCTCTGGGCAGGAGGACGGTCACCTGGGCGTCCCCCATGGGAGCCAGGCGCCACATAGGTGGCCACACCTTTGACAGGTTGCCTAGAGGCGGGGGTATACTGGTGACGTCACACACATCGAAGTGGGCGTGAGCGTGTAGTAGGGGACACAGCACACGGCCACGCCCACGGGGGTCAGTATACAGGCGTACTCTCCACCCTGGATATACACGACCCACCTGGAGGAGTTCAACTCTTACCTCACAATATTCTTCACTGTAAATTAGTAACAATCTCTAGTACTGAATGTCTGAAGCATGGTATACAGAAAGTTGTCTTACCCAACTTTTATTTTTTTTTTTTTGTAAATTGAATTGCAATAGTGCTTAGCATAATACTACGAAGGTCTTTTCACGTCTTATTTACTTTAGGATGCAATATGTCAATTTCAGTTACAAAAACCGCACTATTTTCAGGAGCTCTATAAGAGAGCTTAGTGTAATTCACTGCTGAGTCTTTAATACCCGGTGTTGGGTATTAAGTACCCGGTTCTCGTCTCATTAACAAGATTGTACATGGGTTCCTGGTACCATGAAGTGTATGCAGACGTGTGGTACCTGGGAAATAATGTCGTTGAGTCCTCTCCAGTACTCGGGGTTGTGACCGTAGAGTGCGAGAGACACCACCCTCTGGCCATCCCCCGCCGCCCATGACCGCCGCCCACAAGTGCCGCCCACCACGGAGATACTTGAGGTGACGGGAGGAAATGCTTTACGGGAAAAAGGTCCAGGAACACAGTCATCGTCGACACAGTCACACTCACCACTCTCCCACCAGGGAAGAGATTCCTGCACACAAGTGTAAACACAGTTCTGTTAGTCACGACCTTTAAGAAAGACGACAAATATTTATAAAAAGCTGAAAGAAAATAAATGTAGGACGAGGGAGACTTACGGAGATTGAATGTCTTTCATGTAAGGATAACAGGATAACAGTAATTGAGGAAAAAGCTTATGGAATTATCAATAACATTGCCAGGATGTGAGGGAATTGAGACAAATGCAGATGCAACACTCACATAACAGGAATAAAACAGTGAAGAAAATACTACGCATGGGTTAAGCAGAAAACAAAAAACATGTGATCAGAGCACAAATTAATGGAGGATGATTGCGACAAAGAGCAAGTGAAGGGTGATATCAATGGTTGAATGAGTTTGTATAGTGCACCCTTAAATGAGGATGCGGGTGGGGAAGAGGGTCGAATTTCGGCTCCTAGGGCCGCCCCTCACTTAAATACGACTTGTTTAACTAGTTTCCTGTCTCATAGACCCATGTCGCACCAAGCATTCAAGCGGGGCATGGACGGGTGAATATACAAAATTTATGAAAAGAAATGTATAGTGTGAATGCTTGAAACTAGGTACATTCATGCTAATGTTTTCGAGAATACTTCATTTCAATTGAAAGAGGCGTTTGTGTTCTTGATGCTCCTATCTTATAAGACGGTGTTATTACCAGACCCTTGGATGGAATAATTTACACAAAGAAAACAGATGAAAAGTAACGCTTATGAGACTAAGAATCCCAGTGTCGTTGTTGGAATCATTTACAACTAACCAGCAAATTTGGAAAGAAAACTAGACGTCTTGGTCCATCTTGAACCATTATTCTTCACGGACGAACTTAAAACGTCCTTTAGCTTTCATTTCCAAGTTGTGGGTTAGATGTGAGCAGCGAGTCTTACCTCTTCATCCACGCTCTGGGCTGCGATGGTCCTGGAGGCTTTGGGCTGTGTTTGGTCTAACACTGTGTCTCCTCTTGTGTTCTGGGTGAAGGTAGCGAGATACGTGTTGAGGATTTGGTTTGTGATGCGCCATGTTTTGAGAGTATTGGTTGTCTGCACCATAAGAGAATAACATAAGGCAACACAAACACAACAATAGAGCGGCATTGTAGCCAATCTGCAACTCCTCCAGCAGATGAAATATGAGTTGAAGCTCCTGCAATAAACCAAAGATCTTTGATTTACCTAGACGGCCATGTCTTGATCACGACAACCACCACTTCTTATCGGAAACATGATTTGCTTAAAACATGTCCCAAAAGAAAGTTAATTCATTAAGATTAAGTCTCATTAACAGTGAGTAGATCATTAAGTCCGCAGTTTAACTGTACACTAACTTCAAGAATGATTTAATCCTTGAAGCAAGGATTAAAATTAAGTCTCGTTGTCTATACTCTATGAAATACAGACAACTTGAAGTTTAAAATGGTAGAAAAAAAAGGTAATTTATTTTATGCTGAACTGAGACAATGTAATAATATATATATATATATATATATATATTATATATATATATATATATATATTATATATATATATATATATATATATATGACGTTATAGCCTTAGATCATTCACCTCATAGTTGCTTTAGTGTTGAACCTTCAGAGAAGCGCCCAGGCAGGTCCCAGAGGAATGTGTGGTAACCTGGCAGATGAGAGACGAGCCTTTAATGACCCCGTCCGCCAGTCAAGGAAAAGTTATTTCATAAAATGGAGATTATTTTTTTCGTTTCCTCATCTCTCCGCTTCCTCCTATACGTCTCTTAATTTTCACGCTTATTTTTCTTTCCTGCCTCGTTTTTCACCTTTCCATTTTCTTCATCCTCTCCCGTTTCATCCACCACAGTACCATGTAACGGTACCAGAGTTGATGTAATGGTACAAGAGTTGATGTAATGGTACCAGAGTTGATGTAATGGTACAAGAGTTGATGTAATGGCACCAGAGTTGTTGTAATGGTTCCAGAGTTGATGTAATGGTTCCAGAGTTGATGTAATGGTTCCAGAGTTGATGTAATGGTTCCAGAGTTGATGTAATGGTTCCAGAGTATCATTACATCAAGAAGGATATGAAGACTGAATTAAAAGATACGTGATTTATTTGCTCAGACCTCTGCAATTCTTCAGGCTGTTACTGCTGGCTGCACACAATCCAACGTACTAACCACAACCCGGCTGACCAGGCACTGACTTGAGGTACCTATCCATCCAGTTTCCACTTGAAGACCGCTGAATACCCAGAAAACACTGTGTGGTACCTCCACCTACACCACTGGTATGTAATTTCGATACACTTTTCCTGCCTTTACCGTGACCCACGTGGGCAGGCATAGCCTGCAACAATATCTGGATCTTTTATACAGTGACTGAGCCCTTATCAAGGAAGTTCTGAACATTATAATAAGGAATAAAAACACGTACTGAACACTCACGCAAAAACCGTGCCGATTAGTGAGGTAAATTTGAAGTCGAAATAATTTATAATACAGATGTAACTGTACCAAATAATAGCACATTAAATAATTTACTTCACACACATTTTCAGAAGAACAAGATTAAAAAGAATATATTAGTTATTTATTTTAAATAATATAATTCGTGAGTGGGATGCCCAAAGATCAGTTAGCAGGATGACGTACTGCATGTGACCCGTGAGTCCTGTTTATTGACTGTTGAGCTTCATGCTTGAGTGGTGAGCTCCGTGATTGAGTGATGAGCTCCCTGCTTGAGTAATGAGCCCCCTGCATGAATTCTGAGCTCCCTGCTTGAGTGGTGAGCTCCCTGCTTGAGTGGTGAGCTCCCTGACTGAGTAATGAGCTCCCTGCTTGAGTGGTGAGCTCCCTGCTTGAGTGGTGAGCTCCCTGATTGAGTAATGAGCTCCCTGCTTGAGTAATGAGCCCCCTGCATGAATTCTGAGCTCCCTGCCTGAGTGGTGAGCTCCCTGATTGAGTAATGAGCTCCCTGCTTGAGTGGTGAGCTCCCTGCTTGAGTGATGAGCTCCCTGACTGAGTAATGAGCTCCCTGCTTGAGTGGTGAGCTCCCTGCTTGAGTGGTGAGCTCCCTGACTGAGTAATGAGCTCCCTGCTTGAGTGGTGAGCTCCCTGCTTGAGTGGTGAGCTCCCTGATTGAGTAATGAGCTCCCTGCTTGAGTAATGAGCCCCCTGCATGAATTCTGAGCTCCCTGCCTGAGTGGTGAGCTCCCTTATTGAGTAATGAGCTCCCTGCTTGAGTGGTGAGCTCCCTGCTTGAGTGATGAGCTCCCTGACTGAGTAATGAGCTCCCTGCTTGAGTGGTGAGCTCCCTGCTTGAGTAATGAGCTCCCTGCTTGAGTGGTGAGCTCCCTGCTTGAGTGGTGAGCTCCCTGATTGAGTAATGAGCTTCCTGCTTCGAGTGGTGAGCGTTCTGCTTAGTGACTGGTGAGTTCCCTGCTGAATGAAAATGAATGTTGCAACGCATGCAACATTTGACAATGTTGAAAACGTGCTGCCAACCTGTGGTTATATCAGACAAATAAAGGGGGGGAGACATTCATGTAAACCAGTGAATAATTTAAACCCATAAAAGACGGTGAAAACCCAATATATCAACCAGATTTTTTTTTGTGCTAGTCAACAGACCGACGAGAAAAAAAGGGGTAAAATAGCCAACGATGCAATTAAAGAAAAGGACTATAACATCATCGAAACAGTAAAAAAAAAATAATGTGAAGACTTTAGAAAAAGCAGCCGGACAATAAAACAGCAAAAAAAAAAAAAACATAATAAAACAAAATTAAGAAATAACCCTAAAAGCAAAACCCAACAAGTCAGACACAATCGTCTTAAAGAAAAAGTAAGAAGTAGGCATAATAACTTCCAGTAAGACAAGAAGAGCAGTGTAATGTGATGTGTTGGCTGCCATGGTTAAGAAATGTTGAAATTGTTCCAGTTTGTTGACCTGTAGAGATTCCTGCCCATAGACCACGAGTGACCACCAGGTAGTGACTGGCTGACCACCAGGTAGTGACTGGGTGACCAAAAGGTAGTAAACTGGTGACCACCAGGTAGTGACTGGCTGACCACCGGGTAGTGCCCTGGGTGACCCCCAGGTAGTGACTGGGTGACCCCCGGGAAAGTGACGCTGACCCCCGGGTAGTGACTGGCTGCCCAACTAGGTAGTGGACTGGGTGACCACTAGGTAGTGACTGACTGACAACCAGGTAGTGACTGGCTGACCACTAGGTAGTGACTGGACTGACAACTAGGTAGTGACTGGCTGACCACAGGTATGACTGACTGACCCCAGGTAGTGACTGGGTGCCCACCAGGTAGTGACTGACTGACAACCAGGTAGTGACTGGCTGACCCCCGGGTAGTGACGGGCTGCCCACTAGGTAGGGGACGGGCTGACCACCAGGTAGTGCTGGCTGACCACCAGGTAGGACTGGCGACCATAGGTAGTGACTGACTGACAACCAGGTAGTGACTGGCTGACCACCAGGTAGTGACTGGCTGACCACTAGGTAGTGACTGGCTGACCACCAGGTAGTGACTGGCTGACCCTGGGTAGTGACTGACTGAAAACCCAGGTAGTGACTGGCTGACCACTGGGTATTTGACTGACTGACAACCAGGTAGTTGACTGGGTGCCACTAGGTAGTGACTGGGTGACCACTAGGTAGTGACTGGGTGACCACCAGTAGTGACTGGGTTTTCCATAGGTAGTGACTGGGTGCCCACTAGGTAGTAAACGGGTGACCACCAGGTAGTAACTGGCTAAACCACCAGGTAGTGACTGGGTGACCACCAAGTATTGACTGGGTGACCACCAGGTAGTGACTGGTGCCCACCGGGTAGTGACTGGGTGACCACCAGGTAGTGACTGGGTGACCACCAGGTAGTGACTGCGTGACCACCAGGTAGTGACTGCGTGACCACCAGGTAGTGACTGGGTGACTACCAGGTATTGACTGGGTGACCACTAGGTATTGACTGGGTGACCACTAGGTAGTGACTGGGTGACCACCAGGTAGTAACTGGGTGACCACTAGGTAGTGACTGGGTGACCACCAGGTAGTGACTGGGTGACCACCAGGTAGTGACTGGGTCGTTATGTAGGGGCTAGGTAGTTAGGTAAGGGCTGGGTCATTACGTAGGGGCTAGGTAGTTAGGTAGGGGCTTGGTCGTTACGTAGGGGCTAGGTAGTAAGATAGGTGCTGCGTCATTACGTAGGGGATAGGTAGTAAGGTAGGGGCTGGGTTTCCAAATTATGTTTTGATTTAGATAGTAGAGCTGTATTTTTTCAAAGCTGAGAGGCAATTTGCCCTCCAGTAAGCACTGTTAGGCCTCCGGTAAACACTGTTTGGCCTCCAGTAAGCACTGTTTGCCCTCCAGTAAGCACTGTTAGGCCTCCGGTAAACACTGGCCTCCAGTAAGCGCTGTTTTCCCTCCAGTAAGCACTGTTTCGCTTCCAGTGAGCACTGTTTGGCCTCCAGTAAGCGCTGTTTAGCCTCCAGTAAGCACTGTTTGGCCTCCAGTAAGCGCTGTTTGGCCTCTAGTAAGCGCTGTTTGGCATCCAGTAAGCACTGTTAGGCCTCCGGCAAACACTGGCCTCCAGTAAGAGCTGTTTGCCCTCCAGTAAGCACTGTTTGGCCTCCGGTAAGCACTGTTTGGCCTCCAGTAAGCACTGTTTGCCCTCCAGTAAGCACTATTTGGCCTCCAGTAAGCATTGTTTGGCATCCAGTAAACACTGGCCTCCAGTAAGAGCTGTTTGCCCTCCAGTAAGCACTGTTTGGCCTCCGGTAAGCACTGTTTGGCATCCAGTAAGCACTGTTTGGCCTCCAGTAAGCACTGTTTAGTCCCCAGTAAGCACTGTTTGCTCTTCAGTAAGCACTGTTTGCTCTTCAGTAAGCACTGTTTGCTCTTCAGTAAGCACTGTTTGCCCTCCAGTAAGCATTGCTTGTTCTGCAGTAAGCACTGTTTGCCTTCCAGTAAGCACTGTTAGGCCTGCAGTAAGTACTGTTTGCACTCCAGTAAGCACTGTTTGCACTCCAGTAAGCACTGTTTGCCCTTCAGTAAGCACTGTTTGCCTCAATTTCTAATGATGAAAAATTTCAAATATTCTTTTGTTTTTTACCTAATATTAAGAGGGCAAAAGGATATACACACCCCGAGATGTGTCTTTCTCATTGTATATACAGACAACGTACTTTAAACCATATTTCAGAGAATAAAGTATTCTTGACTGGTGGTGAACAGGTGACATGCAGCCTTAATGATCCTCATATTGTTAATAAATTTAATTAACCAACGCAGGATGGTTTCTATTGTCATATTCCGTCACATTTGATGGAATATCATCACATGTTAAATTTCCTGTCATACTCCATCACACAAAAACGAAAAACATCTAAAATTTAATTCTGAAAACCCTACAATAATTTTAAGTTCATGGCTCAGATATACACACACACATCATTCATGTGTTCACTACATCCATAAAAAAATACAGAAAGTCATAATGAATCAAGGGAGAGGGACCCAACCTTCAGTAAGATAAACAGGCTACACTAGTGGACAGGGGCGGTTTAACTATGAAATAAAAGCTTAATCTTTAGGACCCCTAATACCCGAGGGGTCCAGAAGCGACTTTAGCCCACATTGTTTAAAAAATTTTTGGATTCACTGAACGAGAAGGGGTTGCGAAGGGGCCCCCAAAAACGGTTCAGGCTTCAGGGCCCAAAATGTACGTCTGCCCCTGGTAGTGGTGATTTATTTTCTGTAATTGTAAAGTGCTGATGAATTAACGAAGGGCAACTAAATGCAAAATTATTTTTATTCTGGGTCCCAGCAGTCTGCAGACTGTCCTTGATATTACAGAAATTTGAGTGATGTAAACAAAAGGTGACAACAGCCACGAGAACATTAGGCAACTGTACAATTAAGTGTTGGTAAGGGGAGGTTACACTGGTTGTAAGTTGCTTTTAACTGCCAGTCTTGGAGCTCTACTTCTCAGCGGTAAAGCCAATCAGATAGCTCTGTTGGTCAACAGTACAGCCACTCTGGAAAGCTCTGATGGTCGGCAGTAGAGCCACTCGGATGCTGGGTGCTCAACAAATAGAGCCACTCAGATGCTCCCGGTGCTCACAGTACAGCCACTCAGAAAGGCTCTGAGGTCCGTAGTAGAGCCACTCAGGATGCTCTGGTGTTCAACAGTAAGCCACTCAGGATGCTCTGGTGGGTCAACAGTAAGCCACTCAGGATGCTCTGGTGCTCAACAGTAGAGCCACTCAGGATGCTCTGGTGCTCAACAGTAGTGCCACTCAGGATGCTCTGTTGCTCAACAGTACAGTCACTCAGAAGGCTCTGATGGTCGGTAGTAGAGTCACTCAGGATGCTCTGGTGCTCAACAGTAGAGCCCCTCAGGATGCTCTGGTGGGCCCAAAAGTAGAGCCCCTCAGGATGCTCTGGTGCTCAACAGTAGAGCCACTCAGGATGCTCTGGTGCTCAACAGTAGAGCCACTCAGGATGCTCTGGTGCTCAACAGTAAGCCACTCAGGAAAGCTCTGGTGTCAACGTTAGTGCCACTCAGGATGCTCTGTTGCTCAACAGTACAGCCACTCAGAAGGCTCTGATGGTCGGTAGTAGAGTCACTCAGGATGCTCTGGTGCTCAACAGTAGAGCCACTCAGGATGCTCTGGTGCTCAACAGTAGAGCCACTCAGGATGCTCTGGTGCTCAACAGTAGAGCCACTCAGGATGCTCTTGTGCTCAACAGTAGTGCCACTCAGGATGCTCTGGTGGTCGGCATCTCTTTGGACACTCTTCCGGAATTTTCTCATTCTCGAACTTTTTCTTGTACCTAAAAAAATGTATAATTAGAAAGCTTAAAGTATACTTCCCGAGTGAAAGTTTTATATATACTGAGTGCAAGTTTTATATACACTGAGTGCAAGTTTTACATACACTGAGTGCAAGTTTTATGTTATCCCAGAGCAAGTTTTATACACTAGTGCAAGTTTTTATACACACTGAGTGCAAGTTTTTATATACACTGAGTGCAAGTTTTATTACACTGAGTGCAAGTTTATGTACACTGAGTGCAAGTTTTTATATATATGATGCAAGTTTTATATACACTGAGTGCAGTTTTATATACATGAGTGCAAGTTTTATATGCACTGAGTGCAAGTTTTATATACACTGAGTGCAAGTTTTATATACACTGAGTGCAAGTTTTATGTACACTGAGTGCAAGTTTTATATACACTGAGTGCAAGTTTTATATACACTGAGTGCAAGTTTTATACACACTGAGTGCAAGTTTTATACACAATGAGTGCAAGTTTTATATACAATGAGTGCAAGTTTTATATACACTGAGTGCAAGTTTTATATATACTGAGTGCAAGTTTTATATACACTGAGTGCAAGTTTTATATACAGTGAGTGCAAGTTTTATATACACCTAGTGCAAGTTTTATATACACTGAGTGCAAGTTTTATATACAATGAGTGCAAGTTTTATATGCACTGAGTGCAAGTTTTATATACAGTGAGTGCAAGTTTTATATACAGTGAGTGCAAGTTTTATATACAGTGAGTGCAAGTTCTATATACAGTGAGTGCAAGTTTTATATACAGTGAGTGCAAGTTTTATATACAATGAGTGCAAGTTTTTTATACACTGAGTGCAAGTTTTATATACAGTGAGTGCAAGTTTTATATACAGTGAGTGCAAGTTTTATATACAGTGAATGCAAGTTTTATATACACTGAGTGCAAGTTTTATATACACTGAGTGCAAGTTTTATATACACTGAGTGCAAGTTTTATATACACTGAGTCAAGTTTTATATACACTGAGTGAAAGTTTTATATACACTGAGTGAAAGTTTTATATACACTGAGTGCAAGTTTTATATACACTGAGTCAAGTTTTTATACACTAGTGCAAGTTTTATATACACTGAGCAATTTTTATAACACTGAGTGCAAGTTTTATATACACTGAGTCAAGTTTTATATACACTGAGTGCAAGTTTTATATACACTGAGTCAAGTTTTATATACACTGAGTGCAAGTTTTATATACACTGAGTCAAGTTTTATATACACTGAGTCAAGTTTTATATAACTGATGCAAAATTTTATATACACTGGGTGCAAAATTTTATATACACTGAGTGCAAGTTTTTATATGCACTGAGTGCAAGTTTTATATACACTAGTACAAGTTTTATGTACACTGAGTCAAGTGTTATATACACCTAGTGCAAGTTTTATATACACTGAGTGCAAGTTTTATATACACTGAGTACAAGTTTTATGTACACTGAGTCAAGTTTTATATACACTGAGTGCAAGTTTTATATACACTGAGTGCAAGTTTTATATACACTGAGTGCAAGTTTTTATACCCCTGAGTCAAGTTTTATTTTACACTGAGTCAAGTTTTATATACACTGAGTGCAAGTTTTTTTACACCCAGTGCAAATTTTTTATACACTGGTGCAAGTTTTATATACACTGAGTGCAAGTTTTTTATACACTGAGTGCAAGTTTTATTACACTGAGTGCAAGTTTTATATACACTAGTCAAGTTTATATACACTGAGTGCAAGTTTTATATACACTGAGTGCAAGTTTTATATACACCTAGTGCAAGTTTTTATATACATGAGTGCAAGTTTTATATACACTGAGTGCCCAAATTTTATATCACTGGGGTGCAATTTTATATACACTGAGTGCAAGTTTTATATACACCTAGTCAGTTTTATTACACTGAGCGCAAGTTTTTTTATACACTGAGTGCAAGTTTTATATACACTGAGTGCAAGTTTTAATAAAACTGATTCAAGTTTTTATTACATAGTGCAATTTTTTTATTACACCTAGTACAAGTTTTTAAAACAGTGATGCAAGTTTTATATACAAATGAGTGCAGTTTTATATACAATGAGTGCAAGTTTATATACACTGATGCAAGTTTTATATACATGAGTAAGTTTTTATACACTAGTACAAGTTTTATATACCTGAATGCAAGTTTTATATACACTGAGTGCAAGTTTATATTCACTTGAGTGCAAGTTTTATTACACTTACAAGTTTTATATACATGAGTGCAAGTTTTATAACACTGGTGCAAGTTTTTTATACCCAGTGCAAGTTTTATATACACTGATACAGTTTTTTATACACTGGGCAAGTTTTATATACACCTAGTGAAGTTTTATATACACTGAGTGCAAGTTTTATATACACTGAGTGCCCAAATTTTATAACACTGAGTGCAATTTTATATAACTGAGTACAAGTTTATATACACTGAGTCAATTTTAATACACCCGATGCAAGTTTTATATACACTGAGTACAGTTTTTATACACTGGTGCAGCTCCTTTCCCAAGCCGTCTTCCACTCACATTTCTCTAAATTATCCTGTGACAATTATACTTTAAATTTTGAATCTAATTTTGCAAAATAAAATAATAATTTTTTTTTCAAAAGTTTAAACATTATTTTATATTTAAGAATGGGCCCGGGAATTTTGTAAAATAAATATGCATTGTTTATTTCTTCATCATGTTTATTATGACGATTTTTCTGTCCCTGATTTTCGGATTTGAAATAAATTAGAAGTCTTGAATAAGGTATCTTATTTTAGTCTGTAATTTAGTTAATCAATAGTCTCTGTTGTTTACAACTCTTGTTTATCTAGTATTTCTAGCATTCTATTTTTTCCTATCCTTATTCTTGTCTCTCCCTTAATTTGCTTATCTTTCTCCACTTCCCCCTTCCATAACCAACACCTAATTCATAAGAAGAAAAAAGGATACCCTTAGAATAAAAAAAATGGCAATTTTGGCTAATATTTTCACTAAAACCTATTTAGCATTTTTTTGACAACTTCGTCTACATTCTCAGAAAGGCAGCATAGACTACCAACTGAAACCCGCGGAAGCCAGCAAAACCGTCTCCCTCTGTGTTGGCCCCAAAGGGACTGTCGTTTCATATCTCCACAGTAGTAAGTCCCTGGGGTCAGCACACGAAAACTGATGACCGGCCACAGTATCTCCTGAGGAGGGTAGGGCTATTAGTCCTGTGTAATGACAATTAAGGCTTGATATTACTGTGCTAATTACCCTGGCAATTGAAACTTTATAATAATAATAATAATAATAATAATAATAATAATAATAATAAAAGAAGAAGAAGAAGAAGAAGAAGAAGAAGAAGAAGAAGAAGAAGAGGAAGGCAGATTACACGTACACTAACATCTACAATATATTAAAAGCCAAAGCAATATTAAAGTAGACTCCAGGAGTATACACTGAGAGATACCCATGTCTCTACGGTTACCATCATCAGTATATCACTGACTGAGTAGACTAACACTACATCCCAATTCTTTTTTGTTTATTTCACAAAACTTCTTCATAATTTATGTCTTCATATATTTAGTAATAAAGATTTTACAATATACTTTTTTTAATCGGTTGAACTGACTAACAATGTTCTATAATTCCATGAGCGAGAAGTGATTATCGTGAAGACAAAATGAGTTAGTATGATAAAGTTAGTATAACATAGTATGACCCGTGAAGATTGTTACAGAAGGTTTAAGTTGAGGCAAAATGGCTCCTCACACTCACTTCCAATATATATATATCACCTCCATACATCTGCTTCTCCTTATCCTTTGCTTTTGTCAACATAATGTCTCTGAAGACTGCCAAAAAATGGCCGGTATATCTTGTGTTATCCGTGACTTGATTTCTGTCAGCGAATCTTGTAGGGTCCGATCCTTGGTCTCCGATAGGGAGTCCTGTTGAACCCGGATACTGACTCCGGCCAGCGAGACTAATCGGACTCGGATCCTGGTTTCGGGCAGCTGGTTCCGTAGGGTCCGGGTCCCAGCGGACACCCCACAAACCACCCATGAGAGCAAAGTCGTGGTTGGGATGGTCCCGCATTATGTGAAACTGTTTGTCAGAGGAGAGCCAATCCCTCACGGCATCCACCTCACGCTGAATTATCTGTTAGGCAGATTATAAGGGTTTTAAAGTCATATTCCCATATGAGAAGGTTATAGTCGCCCTTAACATTAATATATAATGAACAACTGTCCAACAAACACTTGCCTTTAAGAAGGAACAATGTGGCATGCAAAGAGTACGTAACCTTTATTCGGCACATGTACACACCCTCACTGACAAGCTATCTCCCCCAACCAGGAGATAGAAGCAGAAAAAATAGTTGTCAACGATTGTAACCAGATATAAACATGTAAATAATTCATTATCACTGTAACTTGTTCAGCTATCAAAACTTTGGTGTCCAGTCCCTGGATCCTTTATGTACCTCTGTAATCTTTTGACTATCACCCACAGGATGGATGTAGGATGCATATTACTCTAATCTCGACCTTCACCCGAGGACCTCTTCAGCAGATACAGGAGGAAAAAACTGCTATGTAATAGATAAAGAAAAGGAAGGTCACTTGAAGACTACTGAGGCGGTGTTTCAACACAGTACCAGTACGCACAATATGGCTGGCACAGTTAACATTAACACACCACTTTCTAAATCACATCTGATTTCCAAATTTATCTAAATTTTACCTCTTTCTAAAGGACGACTGAAAGATGTAATTTTTAAAATTGATGGTAAAAACAAATCCAGTAAAAATTACCATTATATTTTCCGACTGCCCGAAATACTGTGCATAGTATAGCCATAAATTCATATAAAATACCATATAAAATATCATATTAAAAAAAACTACATTTTCCCGAAATTCGTTCCAAAAAGGACTGTGTAAATTTGTAAATAAACAATATTAGCCTATCATTATTAATTAACAAATAAGAATAATATATAATAAATTATCAATTACCCACCAAAAAATAATCATACCTACATTTTCTTACGTCTTGCTTTTAATATTTATAGTAAAAAATGCACACGTAGGAGAACAAGCATTTACTGGGGCAACGTTTCGCTCTACGTAGAGCCGAAAATAGAGCGAAACTATCTACTCAAATACCTGAAAGGATCAGGAATTTGAGTAGATAGTTGAGGGACTTGGTAGTCACCACATACGTCACCTAAGCATCACCAAGACACCCTGAAGTATCACCTACGTACCATGCAGGGTTACTTAAGCATCACCTACGTCACTTAGGAGTGACCTACTTATTTGATAGTCACATACGCGTTGCTGACGCGCTTTGAACACCACCTATGTAACATCAAGTCACCTAATCATTCTTAATATCACCTACGTACCATGGAATCAGTATCCCGTAGCTGGAGAACAGTCACCTGAACATCCCCCAGGGGAGCCACCCGCCACATCATTGGATTGACGGCTGACAGGTCACCCAGAGGTGGGGGAAGGCGAGTGATGTCACACACATCGAAGTGGGCGTGGGCGTGTAGCAGGGGGCACAGGATCCTGCCACGCCCACGGGGGTCAGTATACAGGCGTACCCTCCACCCCGGGTACACACGACCTACCTGGAAAGTAAACTTGTCGAATCACACCGAGGGAACAATGTTACAAGCGACTGCAAAATCAGGTAACAACGAAGAAGCCTTTATTAGTTTTGACCATCGTTTCGCACAAGGTCGAGCTTTATTAAAGGTCGAGCCTTTGCGAAAAGTTTGCTTGAGATAACAAAGCCTCGGTTTCGCACTACACGATACACGAAACAATGGAAATTGCAGGTGAAAAGCTGTTATCTTAACTCATTCACAAACTGAGAACTGTTATCCTGTTTCAGCTCATCTAAACATTAAAAACATTTATTTTACCTCAGCTCATTTGCAGACTAAGAGCTGTTATCCTACCTCAACTCACTGCAAAGCTCATCCTTATCTACCTCGTTTCCCAGGATGCCACCCACTTCTCGGTACCTATTTACATCTGGATACTATTTACTGCTAGGTGATCAGGTGCAACACCTGTCTCCTGACAGATGTTGCACCTGATTTAGTTGTACCGATTTAGCGTTTATCATATTTATTTATAATACTAAGGCAGAGTGGTGTCAAAAAAAAGAAAAATACATTTACCATCACTCGTATTGTAGCTATATTTACAAGATTGCCAGTAGTGTTTTCTTCGTCAAGCAAAAATGCCTCATAATATGGGCGCACCAGCTCTAGATTTCAACTCCTTTGTAAATAGTTATCAACTTAGTTTTATACCTGTGTGATAATGTCGTTGAGTCCTCTCCAGTACTCAGGGTTGTGACCGTAGAGTGAGAGAGACACCACCCTCTGGCCACCCCCCGCCGCCCATGACCGCCGCCCACAGGTGCCGCCCACCATGGAGATGCTTGAGGCCACCCGAGGAAATGTTTTACGGGATAATAATCCCGGAACACAGTCATCGTCGACACAGTCACATTCACCACTCTCCCACCAGGGAAGAAATTCCTGTACATAAGTGTAAAGACAGTATTGTTAGTCACGACCTTTGGATGGAAAACAAAAAGAAATGTCTGATATATAAGCAAGGTAGAGGCTATAAAGGATGGACGAGCATTTGATATCAATGTTAAGACAGCAGTAACTGTTGGAAAAGTTGGCGGAATACCCAAGGTAATTTGTCAGGGTGAGAGAGAGAGAGAGAGAGAGACAGAAATAGAGAGATAGACATATAGAACTGCATCTACGACACCCAAGTAACAGGAATAACAGAGAAGAGAAAATACGATGCATTGTTTTAAGAAGAAAACTTTAGATTAAAGGTGGACATAATAATGACGGTTAATCACCACGCCAGGGAGGAGATAAGGACTGATATTAAAAGCAGATAGAAACGATCGGTTGCAGTGGTCGAGTCTCAGCTCCTAGTTTCACTACTTTCATGAAACAGGTGTATGAGCGGCTGCGTGTATAGCGTACGTGAGAGATGTATTGTGTACGTGGGAGATGTATTGTGTACTTGGGAGATGTATTGTGAACGTGGATATATTTTATTTGACTTGATTGATACTTATGTATTTATTACTCCTGTCTTACAAGACTTACAACTTGCAAATAACCCGTAAATTTACAACTAACCAACAAATTTACAACTAATCCATAAATTTACAACTAATCCATAAATTTACAACTAACCCACAAATTAACAACCCGTAAACTTCAAATGAAACCTGGACAGTGTTTCTCCCTATCGAGAAACACTGTACGTCAAGAAGGGATAAAAATGTCTTCAAGTTTCCCTCTCCAAGTTGTGGGTTAGATACGAGCAGTGAATCTTACCTTTTCCTTCATCTTGTGGGTTGTGATGGTCCTGGAGGCGTTGTGCTGTGTTTGATCCAACACTGCGTCTCCTCTTGTGTTCTGGGTGAAGGTAGCGAGGTGTTGTGTGTTGAAGATTTGGGTTATGAAGCGCCATGTTTTGAGAGTATTGGTTGTCTGCACCATAAGATAATAACATAAGGCAACACAAACACAACAAAATAGCGGCATTGTAACTAGTCTGCAGCTCCTTGTCCAGCAGATGAAATAAGAGTTGAGACTC